CTCCAGCCGCTGCCTGCCCTGCCCCGCCTCCTTGAGCTGGGGGCCTTGGAGCAGGCTGTTGGGCAGCCCTCAGGCAAGGCCACAAGGACTGTTTGCTGTTGCCAAGGCCCTGTCCTTTATCTTCCCCTGCCACTACCACCTCCTGCTCCAGTACTGTGGGCGTCCCCTCCTTCCCACGTTCCTGACCTGGCATTGCTGCGGGCACTGTGGGAGGAGACTGGAGCTATCTGCTCTCTACCTCAGCCTTACAGGCTTCTGAGAGCACTGCAGGCTCAGTGTGGTGGTGTGGCCTTGGAAAGCACCTTAACTTGCTTGAAGTAGAACTGAGGACAAAAGGCACTTGCTTTTACTGTACACATTGGAAACAAAGCCTCGTACCTCCAGCTCACCTTTACCAGGACATCTTGGAGCGATGGTCAAACCTAACATTTTGATGGTCAAACCTAACATTGCAGAATCTTTTTTTTTTTTTCAGCTTTTCGAGACAGGGTTTCCCAGTAGCTATGGAGCCAGTCCTGGAACTCTCTCTGTAGACCAAGCTGGCCTCAAACTCACAGAGATCTGTCTGCAAAGTGCTGGGATCAAAGGCGAGCACCACCACCGCCTGGCCCTTGCAGATTGTTAAAGTCGCGATTCTGGGAATCCCCATTTGCAACCTGGTAGTGTTGGGTCAGGGCATCGTGCAATGATGGGGGACAGATCACCAAAGTCTATTAAACCAGAAGCAAACTTTATTCCAGAAAAAGAAAAACCAATCACCATGGGGCACACAAAGCGTAGCTATGTGTGCTATAGCTATGACCGCAGCCAGAGATCGGGTTTCTGCAGCTGTGGCCATGGAGGCTGGTTTGGGACCTTTTCTCTTATAGTAAAACCAAGCACAAGGTGTGGGTCAAAGAGCTTTTCCAACCTTGAGGACAGGCTTAAAGTCACAATACATTTTCAGTTTTACAACTTTTGGTTATAGGAGGCTAGAATGTTAACTTAGGATGTTTGCAAAAGCCTCAGCCACTTTTCCCTATCCCTGTAAGAATGCAAGAATGCAAGGCAGAGAGTAGAGTCACGTGGGAGACAGTTAAAAATTAAGGGAATACAAGCAGGGGGTCCCATAGAGGGAAAAGTTAGAAGCTTCGTCCCCAGTACCTGCCTAGCTGGGAAACTGGGAGGCAGGTGACAATCACTGAAAGTTTATCCCTGTACACAGTGGCTGCCAGGATGTCAGCTCTTAAGGCAGAAAGTGTTTGTTAAAGGTTAATAGTGGTCAAGCGATGGTGGCACATGCCTTTAATCCCAGCACTAGGGAGGCAGAGGCAGGTGGATCTTTGTGAGTTCGAAGCCAGCCTGGTCTACAAGAGCTAGTTCCAGGACAGGCTCCAAAGCTACAGAGAAACCCTGTCTCAAAAAAAAAAAAAAAAAAAAGGTTAACAGTGGCTGCCAGCTTTATTATTTTTTTCTCTCAAAATGTGCTTGGGCTTACAACTTGCTATTTCTAGATTCCTGAACCAGATCCTTTATTTCTATATTTTGTTCCGGGGACCCATTAGTGCTGACTGAGGGTTGCAGCTTGGCAGGAGGCAGCTGCAGCTCCATCAAAGGCAGGAATACCTGCAGACTGCCACTGGCATGCTGGAAGGAATGTAGATGGCCCAGCACCAGCTGGGGAGCCAACTGCAGAGCTAGGCCAGCAGCTTGATGTGTGTTCTGTGTAGGCTGACAGGCCATGCCTGGGGCCAAGGGCAGCCACTAGGCGATGTGTGTGGTATAGCCAGCCAGGGCCAGAACAGTAGGCCCAGGTCCACCCACACTCCGAAGTGTGACCCGCCAGCCAATGGCACAGCACCAGAGCCACCTCTGGTAGTGGTAGTGCCCAGGCACTACTGCTGGCATCGTTTTCCAGCAGGCAGTTCCTGTAGCAGCCGCACCAACCTCCTGGGCCAGCTGGCCATGGTGTCAGTCTGTGCTGTCAACCAGCATGGGGCTCAGCCAGCCCACTGTCCTGATTGAGGTTTGGTTCCCTCACCCTGCGGCTACTCTGCCATTCAGAAGAGGTCATCGGAGGTGCCCAGTACACGCAGCAGCCTCTTAGGGCGCATGTGTTTCAGAGTGGGCACATAGTGCGACGTTCTGTATGGCATTGGCAGGCTAGAGAACCAGCTGCAGGTCGGCTAGAAGCCCTCATCTTGCTGAGTCCAGGGCTCTAGGCCACGCTGTCCTTGTCCTCTGCATCTGGCAAGCAAGATGGAGGCTGGCAGGAGCAAGGGGAGGAGGAGGTAATGCAAGGACACCCTGGGGCTCCAGCCATGATGGTCTGTCTTCTCTGCTCCACACCCCCTCCTCTCTATCAGCTCAGCCCTGCTCCTTCTCAGAGCCCTTTATCCAACCTTAGCAGAGAAGGAGGGGGCTGGAGGCCAGGCCAGAGGGCACTTCCAGGTCATGGGATTCATCTGGGTCTTGGACTCAGGTATGGACACATGGGTCCACACCCGTGGAAGTCGGACTGCATTGCCATCCATATCATTGTCCTCCAAGTGCCCCGTGCAGGGACCCTGAGGTCCTGCTTTCAGACCGTCAGCTCCAATGGTTCAGCAACTCAGCGTTGCAGCCTCCAGGGCTGATTCCTAACAGCTCGATTCATTGAGTCTCTGCATGTGGGGTTCGTGACAGTGAGAGGAATGGACCCACAGGAATGGGCCCCAAAGAATGTCCCCCAGATCTTCCAGTCCTGCTCTGTGGAACACACACACACTCCTCTCAGATGTCCCCTCCACCTCCAGGTTCTAGGGCTCTTCTCCCTTCCTAGCGGGCTATCTTCAGCCCTTGATACAGTTGTCTGAGATCCAATCCCTCCGTTGCCAAGTCTAGTGTCCCTCCCTCCCCAAGTGGCAGCTGCTCTACTCCTTGGAAGCATTTGGCCATAGAACACTCCTCCAAGGGCTCAAGCCAGCCATTCACTAACATCTTCTAACCTCTGCTTCCTGTCAGGGCAAGAGGCTGTCAGAGGGACTTAAGAGTAGGCATCTCCTCTGTTCTTTAAATCTCAGCTGTATCAAAGTCAGGTTCTACTTCTAGAACCTTCTCTAGCTTCCCCATGTTTTTTCAGGCTAAACCAAGACTTACAGTGGATGAAGCTCCTGAAACCAGCTGGGGAAGAAATGGGTCTCTGGGGAGCCACAGAACACGAAACACAGGCTCCTACCTGAAATCCACAGCAAAGACACTGTGGTTCTGGTTTTCCAGCCTTGGAAACTCCATCTAAAACTAGAAATCCTTTCGAAGGTTAGCTCAGAGTTCAACCTGGAGCCAGGGAAGCTAGGCAACAGGGGGAGGAGTCACAGGCAGGTCCACAGGAGGTGGGAGGGGCCAGGAATGGGCTGAGCCATGGACATGGAGGGGTTAACCACCAAGCCAGTCTCATAGAGCGAGATCAATGGGTTACTGCCCGTGAGAGAGTGTGAGGTAGCAACAACGCAGACAGGCAGAGAAGAGCTAGGCAGAAGAGCATGCCACCCTGGGGAAATCCAGGCTGAAGAGGAGGTTGGTCAGTAACAAGTGCCCACATCCAACTCAGCAGACTGCTGAGGGCAGAGGAGAGGAGAGGAAGGGCCTTGAAGACGAAGGAAGAGAAGTAGGGAGCAGAAGCGTACCTGCGGGGAGGCACCACGGACAGCGGCTGAGCCCCTCAGCCTTGCCATTCACCAGGAAGCATGCGGGGGCCCAGTGCTTAGAGCTGAGGTGGGTATTGCTCATCATGGGCTTGGATGCCTGCTGCATGCTGGGTGCTATGCGGGGGGAGGGGGGGAGGGCAGCCATCACCTTTCTTCCCTCCTCCCTTCCCCCTGACCCCCCTGCTCCTAATTCACCCCACCGCTCCAGTGGTCCTGGAGTGCAAACAGATCCACAGGTTGTGTGTGGACTGTGGGGTGGGGCGGGGATGAAAATAGGCGGTGAGCACATAGCCACGTGCACGGGGCATTTGTGAGTGGTCGGGGCACCACCTGTTAGTCTTTCAGATGAGCACCCCAGCATAGGAGTAAGGACCACAGCAGAACCAGGTCTGTCACTTAGGGTGTGATATTAACCACTCACATCACCTCTCTAGGACTCTGTTTCCCTAGGCAAAGCAGAGACGGTGACTTTAACGGTCATCCTAGGTTTGCCACGGTGGTGCTTTCATGAGAATGGGCTCTCCAATGACTCAGGGATGTCACCAGTGCAGCCTGTGGCCACAAAAACGCCCCTAAAAACAAGGGTCTTGCCGCGCACCGCGCCCCCGTGTCTGCGCTCTGTGCGCTGGCACCCAGTTCGCGGAGCTTCGGGCAAGGGGACTGGAGGTTAAAATACACAGACTCACACAGACAGAGAGACAGCAACACGGGTCATCCTTGAATTCCCCAAGAATGCCCCCTTTATTGTGTTCAGGGGCAGATTATATAGAGATAGCCACGCCCCAGCCAAACCACCAGAAACCACTCTCCTGCCATCAGGAACTCCTGAGGGTCTGGTGCTCAGAGCAGCCATAGGCACTCAGATCAGGGGATTACAAGAAATTCAGGATCTGGGGTCTCACTGCTCCCAACAGGGTCTCTCCTGAACTTCAGACCTGATTGAAAAGGAAAATATACCAACGTCCAGAGTGTGTGCTGCCCCTCCCCCCGCTGCAACATCTTCATCTTATTCTGCCTGTGTCTTCACATGCCTAAGTCCAGAGTAACCCAAATGGCCTTCCAGGCTCTGGGTTACAGAGGTGTTCCCTAGGAAACCAAGGAGTAGAGCTCCTGTGAGCACATGCGCGTGCGCACACACACCAATGTCACTGTGGCAGATTCTTGCTCACACAGTGATCTTTTTAGCTTGGCTCTACCCTCTCCCATCTCTCATGAACTTCTAGCCCAAGACACTTGGTCACATCCCGGCTGGAGGAACCAGGCCCATGGGTCAAGTGCCTGGAGCCCTGGTCTCCTGTCTAAGGATCCATTTTCTCTTCCCCATCTGATAGGAAGATGGCTGACATCCAGAACATTTCGCTGGACAGCCCAGGGAGCGTAGGAGCTGTGGCAGTGCCTGTGGTCTTTGCCCTCATCTTCCTTTTGGGCATGGTGGGCAATGGGCTTGTGTTGGCTGTGCTGCTGCAGCCTGGCCCAAGTGCCTGGCAGGAGCCCGGAAGTACCACAGACCTCTTCATCCTCAACTTGGCGGTGGCCGATCTCTGCTTCATCCTGTGCTGTGTGCCCTTCCAGGCAGCCATCTACACGCTGGATGCCTGGCTCTTCGGGGCCTTTGTGTGCAAGACCGTGCACCTGCTCATCTACCTCACCATGTACGCCAGCAGCTTCACTCTGGCGGCTGTCTCGGTAGACAGGTGAGCTGTAGCAGGGCAGATTGGAGATGGACCTGGGCAGATTCTTATTGGCTAGTGGAGGAGAGACTAGGGATTAGAGGTTGGTGGGCATACAGGGAAGCCTCGGTGGTACCTGCCCTTTCCACCTCTACTGCGAACTTCCAGAGGACATTTCTGTGCCCCAAGTGTCAGCACAGGCCTGGTATAAGGGTAAAATAGCAACAAAAGAAACCCCTGGGGTCAGTTGTGCTAGTGCACACCTTTAATCTTAGCAATCTGGAGGCAGAGGTAGAGAGATCTCTGTGAGTTCGAGGCCAGCCTGATCTACAAAGGGAGTTCCAGGACAACCAGGGATACACAGAGAAATCCTGTCTTAAAAACATACATACATACACACACACACATGCACACAGGGAGGGAGGGAGGGAGGGAGGGAGGGAGGGAGGGAAGGAGAGAGAGAGAGAGAGAGAGAAAGAACGAACAAGAAACTCCAAACGCATTCTTCAGATGTTAAGGCCCCACATTGCACTCACATCTGCTTCCTTATCTCGAAAACTCCCTAACCAATGACCTTGGGTGAAACTTTGGGCCCCTGCTAGACGCCAGGCAAGGGGAATGGGGTGGGGAAATTAAGGCAGGTGCGGAGCGGCCGCGCGCAGGAGGCCCCCGCCCCCCTGACCGCGCGCCCTCTGGCCCGCAGGTACCTGGCCGTGCGCCACCCGCTGCGCTCCCGGGCGCTGCGCACACCCCGCAACGCGCGCGCCGCCGTGGGGCTGGTGTGGCTGCTGGCGGCGCTCTTCTCGGCGCCCTACCTCAGCTACTACGGCACGGTGCGCTACGGCGCGCTCGAGCTCTGCGTGCCCGCCTGGGAGGACGCGCGGCGGCGCGCGCTCGACGTGGCCACCTTCGCCGCGGGCTACCTGCTGCCGGTGGCCGTGGTGAGCCTGGCCTACGGGCGCACTCTGTGCTTCCTGTGGGCGGCCGTGGGTCCCGCGGGCGCGGCGGCGGCCGAGGCGCGCAGACGAGCGACGGGCCGCGCGGGGCGAGCCATGCTGGCGGTGGCGGCGCTCTATGCGCTGTGCTGGGGCCCGCACCACGCGCTCATCCTCTGCTTCTGGTACGGCCGCTTCGCCTTCAGCCCGGCCACCTACGCCTGCCGCCTGGCCTCCCACTGCCTCGCCTACGCTAACTCCTGCCTCAACCCGCTCGTCTACTCGCTCGCCTCGCGCCACTTCCGCGCGCGCTTCCGCCGCCTCTGGCCCTGCGGCCGCCACCGCCACCGCCACCACCGCGCCCATCGCGCCCTCCGTCGTGTCCAGCCAGCGTCTTCGGGGCCCGCAGGTTACCCCGGCGACGCCAGGCCTCGCGGTTGGAGTATGGAACCCAGAAGGGATGCCCTGCGCGCTGGAGAGACTGGACTAGCCCTGTCCGCCCGGGGAGCGCAATAAACCCTGCCAGCCTGGACTCTGCCGGCTGTCTGTCCTCTTCCCTGGGTGGCACAGTGTCGCCGAGGAGCGTCTAGAGGGCCTGGCTCCACCGCAAAGCAGAGGCAGAGTTGCAGCTCTAATCCAAAGGACACCTGGGCTGTTAAATGTGGTCCACCCAACCAGACACAGTGTCCCAAAGCCAGTCTGGCAGCAGAATAGCCCATTCACCCAGCCTGCACCTTCCAGGCCCTGTTTTTTTCTACTACCTCTGACTTCCCCTTTTTGCTCCCAAGCCATAATCTAGGTGTTTTGTTTTGTTTCATTGGAGAGAGAGAGAGAGAGAGGCAGGCAGAGACTGATTCAAGTCGTCTAGGCTGGCCCGAAACTGCCTACTGTAGCCAAGGATGAACTTCAACTCTTCCCCCGCTTCTCTTCTCTTACCCAAGTGCTGACAGGCACCCCAGACTCCTGGCTTGTTCAGGCAGGGACTAACAAGTCTTTCCTTGGCTACTCTGTAACCTAACAGAATGCTATATTTAATCATCAAGACAGCTTTGTAAGGCAGGGTAGATATGATTAATCTTATTTTAAAGACGTAGAAATCAAGGATCATAGAGGTCACATAGGGAGAGGCTAGATCCAAATCCCTGGCTGCCTAACACTTGTTACTCAGTGGCCTTTCTTTGCTTCCTTAAGGCTTCCATTTGTCTTTTGTTTATTTGGTCTTTCGAGACAGTATTTCTCTGTAGTTTTGGAGCCTGCCCGGGCACTCTCTCTGTAGACTAGGCTGGTCTCGAACTCGCAGAGATCCATCTGCCCCTGCCTTCCAAGTGCTGGGGTTAAAGGCGTGTGCCATCACCACCCAGCTGACCATTGCTTTATTTCTGTCTTTTGTTTTTGAAGCCTTTGTAAACGATAGGTAAGTGCTGTACTTCTGACCTATATTCCCAGCCTGGGTTTGCTCTTGTTTTACTTCTAGCGTGGAGCTCTTCTGCTCCACACGTCTGATTCTGTGTTCTAGAAGCTTCAGAGCTCGCAGGCACTTACTTTCAGAATTCTGCTTGGCTACTGAGGTGTGGGCTTCCTGGTAGTCAGGCAGTCCTGGGGTGAGTTCCCTAACCCAGACACCTTGCGTCATTCCCTTAGCTTCTTGGTGTTCCTGACTCAGAAGAGACACTGAACCTCGCTTGAGCCGCAGCTGGCCTCTTAAGGGCTCTGGTTGTCCTCCCCCTCCCCATCACCACACACAGCTGAGGAAGCCTGCGGCTGTGGAAAAGCCTAATTAACCAATAAATCAGTCTTGTAGGATCCCATGCTGCCTGCTTCTGCTCTCCCTTTCCACACATCAATAATGTTGATTAACTTCAGGCCCTAACACTGCTTGTCTGCTGCAAGGAGCACCCTGGGAAGGGCTCTCCCTATCAGGAGGCAGCTACCTAGCGGTCATTACTGCCCGCCACCTGCTGCTGACACAGAAGCCAGAGCAGCAGGAGGAAGCTGAGACCAGCCAGAGAAGTGGCTGCCCCAAGACCCAGTCAGGGCCTAACACCGGGCCTCGTGTTTTCTCCCATGATTCTTCCAAGAATCTGGGCTCAGTGAGGAAGTGCCCTGAAGGCAGGGAATGTGTTGTTGCCTCTGCATAGCACCCATGGTGGCTGTCACCACTTCTGTGCCTCACCCGACACTTCAGAGGAAAGCAAGGGGTAGTGGTTCATTGGACACAGGGAGGCAGATGACATGACAGGGGACAAACATGGGTGGCAGATAGTGTTCTCACTTCAGTGTGGAAACACCCCTGAATGGAATATGGAACCCATACGCTAAAATATCATTCCATATATAAATAGAAATATAAGCCACAGAAGACAGGCCTTGAAAGTAGGCAATGAGACATATATTGTATACCTCTGTTTACATAAGGTTCCTAGAATCAGCAAATTTATAAGAACAGAACACAGCTTGCTGTTTGCTTAGGTCCGGGAGTGGTGGGGAGAAGGGAATGAGAATGCTCATAGGTACTGAGTTTCTTCCAGGCTTGATGAAAAGGTTCTAAAATTAGATCACTAGGGCTGTCTGCAGCTCAGCTGGTGGGGCACTTGCTTGATGAGCAGGAAGCTCTGGGTTCAACCAAGCTTTGAGTTCAATCCCCAGAAGGCAGTAGCCTACACACTACTGTAATCTCAGCACTTGGGAAACGGATGCAGGAGAATCAGAAGCGCATGATCAGTGAGACAGATGTGGAGGTGCGTGCCTTTAATCCTAGCCAAGGGGAGGCAGGCACCTCCCCTTTGTGATTTTGAGGCTGACTTGGTCCATATAGTGAGTTACAGGCTAACTAGGGTGATGTAACAAATGTCTCAAAAGAAAAAAAAAAAGTTCAGCCTTACCTATGTAGCAAGTTCAAAGCAAGTAAGAGAGTCAATCTCAAAAAAAAAAAAAAAGGTGGGAGTGGGCAAAAAGATGACTCATCAGATAAAGGGGCCTGCTGTGCTGTCAGGCCTGACAACCTGAGTTTGAGTCCCCAGACCCCACACTGTGGAAGGAGAAAAGAGAGAATCCACTCCTACAAGTTGTCCTGACTTCACACGTGTGTTGGCACGTTTGAACATGGACACACTCTCCCTACACATACACTCATACAGATACATACCTTGTTAAAGCAAAAATAAGTGGGATGTTCTGGCTTTAATTCCATCATTTAGGAGACAGAGGTAAGCAGATCTCTGATTTTGAGGCTAGTCTGGTCTATGTAGCAAGTTCCAGGCCAGCTTGGGCTACACGGAGAGATCCTCTCCCAAAAGGCAAAAGTAAAATACAAGTAGATCATCATCCTACCGGGCAACCACAGGACATGCCGACACCGCTGACGTGTGCAGATTAAGTGGGTACAATTGACATGTAAACCATATTTCAATAAGTGCATTTGAAATATAAAACTAAAGTGGGTCTGGGACCCACACCGGACCCAGGGGACATTTTCAGGGTAACCTAGCAACTTTGGGTAGATACAGAAGGGTGGCTGAGAAGGCTGTCATAGACAGTGCACATCTGCAAAATAGGAATGGAGACAGACAACCCCCAGGCTGGCTTAGAGGAAGTGAGTCTAGCCACCCAGTAGTCCTCTGTAGGTCCAGGCAGATGATCCAACCAGAACCTCTGTGGACCAGAGAAGATGATGGTCTCTGGGCCCCTTCCCAGTGGCCTAAGACTCTGCTCAACTGGTAGAGGACCACTGAACAGCTAGACCCCTCGCTGGCTTGCTGAGACCTCCTGCTTTTGAAGCAGGACTCTTGCTCAGTGCAGCCAGCCAGCCTATGGGTGATCTAAGGGATGGAAGCCCAGGAAGCTTGACAGTGTGTGGCCAGACAGTGGGTGGATACTTGTATGTAATACGGGAGGACACGGTACCAGGGGAGAAAAGGTGGACCTGAAATGACCCAGAGAGGAAAGTTCCTGCCACCTGGGCAATGCAAACAAGAATTCCAGAGAGAACTTCTAGGAAGTGTTTGCACATGCCCATTGTGTGTGCATGGTGTGTAAGCCAGAGGTCCAAATCGGGTATCTTTCAAAAGTGATCTCTACCTTGTTTTCGCTCACTGAACCTGAAGCTCCCCAACTGGGCCAGGAAAATCCCTGGCATTCTCCTGTCCCGGCTTCCTCGGCTCTAGGACTGCAGACATGGCTTTTGTTTTGTTAAGGTAGGGCCTCACTATGTAGCCCTGATCAGCCTGGAACTCACAAAGATCTGGCCTGCCTCTGCCTCCCGAATGCTGGGATTAAAGGCGTGTGTGGGCCAGCTGTGGCTTTTTTGCGTAGTAGCTGGAGATTCAACTCAGGCCCTCAAGGCTTGCAAACCTGAACTGTCACCCTGCTGTGCAGCCTGGTTGACCTGGTACACTTATAGTATAGCCCAGGCTGGCCCCAAGGTCACAGCACTTCTGCCTCAGTCTCCGAGTACGAAGGTTACAGGCGTGCATCACCATGCCTGGCTCCTGAGGTGACTTGTCAAGGTGTGCCTTTTTCTCAGAGGAAGGCAACCCACAAGAGGTAGGGACGAGGAGCCGAAAGCAAGCTTGCACAGCTCGTGAGGGAGGGGTGGGTAAGCTCTGTGGAGACGGCAGGATATGCATCTCTCAGGCAGACCAGGTTGGGCAAATAACGGTTTCCAGGAAAGGAGATGTGGGGAAGAAAGGCTCCCTCTGAGGCGGTACTCAGAAAGCGCCGTAGGCTGGGAGCCCCGTGAGGAAAGCCCTCAAGGCCTAGACCAGAGCTGGAAAACGGTTTTTGCACAGACATGACAGGAAGATGGATGGCCTGCTGCTAGGTTTAGTCTTGGCTTCCAGGACTCGGGGGTCTATTTCAGGGACTAATGAAGTACTCGGGAGAGCAGGTGGTTGCCGTAATTTGGTTAGGAGAGAAACGTGTGTCCTGTGGAGCCCAAGGCAGGCAGTAGGGGCTGGAGTGGAGACTGAGTGAAACCAGGATGCTGCCCTCAGAGCCCAGGAGAGGTCACCTGACCCAAGGCCACAGCAACACTCAGGACAAGGCTGGGGTAGCCTCAGTGGGAAGGCCTTCCCAGCTGGAGCAAGGTTTAGACTCTGCAGCCCTTGCCTTCTGGTTGCTGAAGTCTTTTTGATTCTTTTTGATTTACCTTTTTTTTTTTTTTTGGTAGACCAGGCTGGCCTTGAACTCACAGAGACCCACTTGCTTCTGTCTCCTGAGTGCTGGGATGAGAGGCGTGCACCACCATGGTCAGATGGTACCAAGCACGCATAAGGAGCCACGGTGTGTACTCACACTTGAGCACCTGCCAGATGCAGCAGGAACGAGAGCTGGGGCTGGGGAGCCCAGAGAAGGGCCCATCAGAGGGTGGACTCCCAGAAAAGGCTTCCTGGAGACGCTGTGCCCAAGGTCAGTCATTAAATGCAGGCTTACTATGGCTCAAAGAGGGAGGCCTGAGAGACCATTTGCAGGGGCTCCTGATGGCAGGGGCCTCTGATGGCATGGGGTGCCCTCAGGAAGGGAGGCAAGGGCGGTGGGGACCTTGTGAAGAAGGCTCTATGTTTCATCTGAACTGAGGACTGGATCCTCCTGAGGGCAATAAGGAGCCTCTGCTCTGGTTCTGAAACCAGAGCGATTTGATGAGGTTTCAGGAGCTTTCTGTTGCCGCCAACACTGGCTTTTGTGTGGTGGAAGACCAAAGAGAGACAGGAGTGAGGACACTGGTCAGGCTGGTGAAAATCCAGAGAGATGAAGACATTCAGGACAAAGACAGTGGAGGACTCGCTGTCGACCACGTGGGAAGAACAATTATCAGACTTGGTGACGGTTGAGAAAGAAGAAAGAGGTACCTCAGAAGACACCCAGGCTTCGAGCTGGAGCCCTGGTGTGGCAGTGGGGACACCAAGGGGACAGATTCAGGGGAGGTGATGACATATTAAACTGAGGGACCTAGGTGGTGGGGGCTGCAGGGTTCTCAGGGAGATGAAGCGCCAGCACACCTGCCACGTTGTATTTAGTTCTTGTGCTTGGCTCTGGAGCTTACGTCTCATCTGCGTCAGTTGGAAGATGAAGAAGGTGAGACCAGAAAGGTTGAGTACTTGCCCTAGGCCACAGAGCTCAGGTTTGTCTGATTTGGTTTCATGGAGTTGGCGAAGGGGTAAGACAGAGCCGATTGGGGGTGGGATGAACTAGAATGTGCACAGGAGAGGGCCTCTCTGTGCCACTCTGGTGACAGGGCTGCCTGACCCTGGCGAAAGGAAAGCTCCCTCCTCCGGCCCCTCCTCCTTTGAGCTGGCAGAGACAGCATCATCTATCAATTTCGAGGTGCGGACCAGGGGAAATAAACACCAATTAACCGCCGACTTTTCTATTAATGAACATCGCTTCCTGATGGCGGGCTCATTTGTGGACTGCTCGCTGCAAGATGATGTGAGGCCAGGAGGACAGACTGAGCTTAAGAGGCTGCTTTAAGGCCGGGCGGTGGTGGCGCACGCCTTTAATCCCAGCACTCGGGAGGCAGAGGCAGGCGGATCTCTGTGAGTTCGAGGCCAGCCTGGTCTACAAGAGCTAGTTCCAGGACAGGAACCAAAAGCTACGGAGAAACCCTGTCTCGAAAAATTTAAAAAAAAAAAAAAAAAAAAAAAAAAGAGGCTGCTTTAAGAGGCTTAGGCTGATTGCAGGGACACCTGCCTGGCAACAAGCTAAGTGGCTCCTGTAGGGGAAAGGCTGTGATTGGAAGAATGGTTCCAGGACAGGGTGGCTGGAGTTCCTGTGGGTAGAATGGGGCTCCCTCCGCATCTGTGGCTCTGGATGGTATGGGGCAGGAGCAGGCACTGGCCCAGGAAGCAGTGCAACCCAGGGGAATGGGTTTGAATTCCAGCTGCTGTCCAGTTGTGAGGCATGTGGGTAGAACTGAGCCATTTGGCCTCCCTCCAAGGGTACCTCCTGGGGGCCCTCTCTAGCCGACCTCTCACCCTTTGGGGTCCCCTCATCACAGATTAGCCAGGACTACCTAGGTTCTGGACCAGCCCCATCACCTCTGACCATCATCGTAGTATCAGGTGTGTGTCTCATCCACCGAGCACACTGTACTGTGAGCTTGGCAAGGAAAGAGTTTGACCTGCTGCTTCTGAGAATGCTGACTGCTCACAGAAACAGGCATTCAGAGCTGGACAATGATGGCGTACGCCTTTAATCCCAGCACTCAGGAGGCAGAGGCAGGCGGATCTCTGTGAGTTTGAGGCCAGCCTGGTCTACAGAGTGAGTTCCAGGACAGCCAGAGCTGCACAGGGAAACCCTGTCTCGAAAAACAAAACAAAACAAAACAAAACAAAAAAAAAGGTGGGCATGGGGAATGCTAGATGGGAGTCTGACACTTTACTGATTTCAAACAAAGCAACTTCTGTCTAAGCCTCCGTTTCCCACATCATAGAATAGGGGAATATATACACACACGTGTGTATATATGTATGTGTATATACACACACACACACACACACACATAAATGTACACACACACAAAGTAACACTCTGTCACAGACCCAACACCTGCTGACACACAGAGGCATTCAGCACATACCGTCGTCACCCTGTGTGAGGAAATGAATTGTGAGGGAGCTCTGGTTTCAGGCATGGTAGAAATAACATGAGTTTGAGGTGAATCTGGCTGCCTGGGTGGGGGTCTCTGGCCAACCTGTTTGGTCAGGTGTGGGCAGCAGCAAGAGCAGGCCCACTGGAACGTGTGAACATGCGTGGTGTGAGTAAGCGCTCAGTAAGGATCGTTAGGAAGGAAGTTAGGAAGGAAGCAGTCGGGATGAGGTAAAACCAAGATCCCCCTTCCCCCACCCCTCCGCTATTCACCCCCCCCCACCGCACCCTCCCCATCAGTGGCGTCCAGTCAGCTGGCTCCAGAGCCAACCCCGGAGGACTACTCCAGCTGCATTCTTTCCTGCCGCTGCCCAGTCCATCGCCCAGGGCCCACTTGTGTTTCCTGACTCACTCCAGTGTCTGGGCCGACTCTCTCTGGCTGGCTCTTCAGACTGACTCGGGGTTATAGGAAATATTCTGGCTGGAAATGGGATGAGGCAGATTGCCTGGCCACCTGGTCAGCCACCTTCCTGCAACAAGCCCTCCCTTCACTGTCTGCATGGCCAGAGAGGGAGCTAGCAACAGACACTCTGCTAGGGCCAAGGGTGCTCTTGGGACCCAGCCTGCAGTAATAGGGGTGCAGGATGCCTTCCTTGTTCCTGGAGGCCCAGGTTTCAGGAATCAATTAGTCCTACTGTGTCCTGCTGTCTTAGAGATTCCAGGTCAATTCAGGGCAATTTTGAAGTTTCAGAACATTCAACTGTTCAAATTCAAAGCAACAGCCTGGGGCAAGGTGTCCTTGGTACGCCCAGGCAGCCCCAGAGGACTCTGGTGGCTTTTCAAGCTTCTGCTTCCAGGATGCCAGTGCTGGAGTTCCAATTTCGCTGAATGTCGATTTTCTTCAGGATGCCAGTATATACCCCACATAAACCTTACTCCGTTCGGAGGTTTCTGTACCTTCCCTAGCAGCCAGAGAGCTGGTCACCATGCCTTAGCTCTTTCCAGGTGGTGAAGGGTGAGGAGGCCCAAGACCTGAGAGGGGCGGTTTCTTTCCACCCTGCCTCTCTGCTGCCTTGGTTTCCAGCTTGCCCCATGCCCCAGGTAATGACCCAGCCCCAGTGAAGCCCCAAGAAGAGAGCAAGATCAATTGTGCCCATGGGCCCCAAGTGAAAGTCACTTAGAGAGCTGGTCACCCAGGCAGAGGAGAAAGTCTGCCCCATACAGAGTCCCTTGTTCCTCTTGTCACTCAGCAGGGACAGCACTGCCGCTCTCATCTTGGGGCTGCTAAAACACTTTGTCCTCCTAATCCTGCCAAAGTAGGGAACTATGGGTTTCCTTCCCCACAGGGGACTGGGGGTTGAACCCCTACCCAGTTCTTCCTCCAGGGTCTGAGGAGTGGTTGAGTTTCTGTTCAGTACCAAGCTGGCATCTGAAGATGGGCTCTCTTCTGCCAGTAGCCAGACCTTCCCGTTTGGCAAGAGAGAAAATGGGGGCGATGCCAGGCCAGACATGGACTAGAAGTCAGTGGCCAAATCCCTGTCCGGAGGGGGCTCCTATATGAGGATTCTCCCCCACTCCCACACCAGAGCAGTCTCCTTCAGGATAGGGTAGGGCACTGTTTAGCAGACCTAAGAGACCTCTGCAGTGAGTCCGAGTCCTTGCTACTTTGTCAGTTCCTGTTGTCACTACAAGAAGCCACCACTAAAAACAAACAGCTGAAACAGCAGATTTATTCTCACAGTTCTTGAGGCTAGACACCAACACGTGTCCCACTGAGCTCAAGTCCAGTGCCAGCAGAGCCAGTCCCTGCTGGGGGACCAGAGGGCAATCGTTCACGTCCTTCTCCAGCTTCTTCCTCAACTTCTCACATCCACACGGCAGCAATCACCTCCTGCCTCCCTCCCACAGGGCTCCCTGGGGTGCTACCCTGCTCACCTAGATGATCCAGGATCCTCTAAGACCTCTAGTTATATCTGTGCAGGCTCTTGTCATACCATCTGAGGCCTCGAGGCTCCTGGGATGAGGACCTGGGCACATGAACCACCATCTCCCTCTCACAACTTGGCTGCAAAACAGATCCCATTCCTAGTGTTTCAGTGACTGGGAGGCAAGGAGTTGGAGATCTTTCTTTGGGCTAAAAAGGGTCTTTCCTAGTCTTATGAAGGCCTAGGCATCAGCAATGCCCCTCTTCTGCTCAGAGACACCCATGCACTGCAGTGTGCCCTTGAAAATCAGGTGCAGGGCTAAACTTAAGTGCTGGTGTGGGGAGCAGGGCCATCTTAGATACCCATAGCAGCCAGGGTGGCCTCAGAGTACCTACCCTAAACCAGATGATAATAAATCCATGGCTGGGAAGAAATGGGGCCCTGGGGCTTGCTGAGAACATAGGGAGGCCACAGGAGTGATGTCTGCTAGGACAGCACATGTAGGCCTGGAGGCTGGCTACAGAGCTGGCAATGTGCAGCAGGAGCTGGGGCTGTGGTCCTGGCCCATAGAGATGATGCCGACTGGGAGCAGCTCTGCCCTCAGCCTCTAAGGGCAAGGGCTAAGTGGAACTCCGGAGTCCCCTGGGCTTTCCCTGTACCGAGAGCGGAGGGCAGGAGGGTGGTGCAAAGCAAGGAGGAGCCGTCCTTGCTACCTCTTCTCCATGCCCTGCATCTGCAGGCTGAGGGAGGTGAAGCTGGCCAAGAGGTCTGTCACTTCATCCACCTGCAGAGAGAAACCCAGACTGACCCGGGGGTCACCACACAACGAAGGCACTGCCTCTCTTCAGGGCACACAGATGCTTCCCCCGTCCTGGTGTGCCAATGACAAGGATGGGGGCTAGAGACTTCTGTGTTGGGCTCAGCACAGTCCTTGACCAGCGAAGGCCTAGGTGTCACCAACCTTTCCCTCTGACTATGGTTCATCTGGGCATCAGGTAGTCTGAGACATGAGCACACCAGCCGCCATGGCTTCATGGATGTGGACAGAAGCTGAGGTCCATGGTGGTGGCAACACCCCAGGTCCTGTGGCTGTAGCTCACCTGCTCTTTGGTACTAGTCATCTGGAGGCGGGTACAGAGGTCATCCAGCCGTTCCCGCTGCTCATGGCGCCCCAGGCGCTCCAGGTACTCCCGTAGCATGTGGATGATCTGAAAGGAGAGAAAGGAGATGGGAGCTGAGCTGCTGGCTAGAAAGCAGGCACAGGCCCAACTTTACACCAACTAGCGTAATGGAGCAGAGATGTTGGGGAACAATGTAATCAGGAAACCTAAGCCAGAGGCAAATGGTCTGCTAAGTGTGGTACCCATCCAGGGAGGAATCGCTCACCTGCTTCACCTCCAGCCGGACAGCCTCCAGGCACTGGGAATGGCCCTCCTGTAGGATGTTCAGCTTTGACTTGGCCAGGTGTAGGGGCGTGCGGCCAGCTCTGTCCAGGGCGTCCACACGGGCCCCTGTGGGAACAAGGAGAAGGAAGCATGCTGGGTATGAGAACGAGAGAAGGCAGGAAGAGGTAGAGGAAGGAGCCACATACCTCCTCGGAGCAGCGTGGTGATGACAGGCACATGGTTGGTGCAAGCCGCTGCGGAAAAAAGAGAGACTTAAGAATCACAACTGGGGAGAGCAGGGAAGAGATCTGTGTCCCTGCGTGTGCCTATGCCACAGTACCTCCCGAGACAGTGTCACCAGGTCAGTGTGCCCTATTGGACGGGACTCAGATCAAGTCCAATTTTCTACCTGTACAGCTGGGGAAACTGAGGCCTGGAGATAGGACTCACTATAATCGACGGTGTGAGTCTACAGCAAGGCTGGGACAGCCAAAGGGCTCACAACCCACTTCCTAGCAGAGGTGGCTGCAGCCAGTCCAAGGCACACCAACAGATCTGCCAAGTGCGCAGCCTACTGTGAACGGATGGTCTGTGGGACACAGTCTGTGGGGAATGCATCCTTGGGGTTCAAGCTCTGTCAGGATGCTAGGAGACACTCCTGGAGCCTGCAGAGCCCTAGGAAGCCTACCTTGTGGCTTTCGAGGACTTACCCAGGTGCAATGGTGTGTTGCCCAGACCATCCTGTTGGTTGGGGTCAGCCCCATGGTCCAGGAGAAGTTGCACTGAAGATGGAAAAATCCAAGATAGACTGTTAGAGGTTCCCACCAACTAAACCTCACCTGAAGCCAGCAGAGGCTTCCGGAGTGTGGAGTGCAGGACCTGGACATGGCTCCCCAGAGCTGTTACATGCACTCCATCATTTATGTGCTCCACAGGGTTTATGTGTAGACCCCAAGGTCTGTAGGAGAGTCAGTCTCTTGGCCTCTTGGTCCTATCTGACTGAAGAACATACTGGGGAAGGCTCCTGAAAGTATTTCCTATTCCCCATACGGCAGCAGGCTGCACTGCACCCCATGAGCAGACGCCCCTCTTCAGCCGTCCTGGGCCGCCTCATGCTGCCAAGGCTTGCCAACCTCCCAGATGGAATCATTTAGGTTAAGGACATTGTTTGGAGAGCCAGGCTGAGTCTCACAAAAGAACAAAATCTAATTCCAGAGACTGGCCATAGACGAAATGGGAACTGTAACAGTGTCCCATCTCTAGAATGAAATAGGTGACCATCTCTGTGGGGAAGGCAAAGATTTTGTAAAGAGACACACACAGTAAAAAACCTACTGGCAACCAGTGCACTATAGCTGGGCCTGGTGGCTTAGGTCTGTGAGTCTAGCTATCCAGGGGTCTGAGGCTGGAGGGTCTCAAGTTCTAGGCCTACCTGGTTTGTAGCATGAGCTCAAGGTCAGCCTGAACAACAAAATAAAAAGTAAGAAGAGAGCTGGGGATGTAGCTTAGCGGTGGAGCACTTGCCAACATGAGTGAAGCCCCTGGGTTTTATCCCCAGGACCACAAAAGAAAAAACAAACAAAAAACCTGGCCCAGGTGTAACCGTGTGGACACCTGTAATCCTAGCATTCAGGAGACGGAAGCAAGAAGATCAGTTTGTGGGCGTTCTCAGCAGCACAGCAGCTGTGAGGCCAGACTGGACTACATGAGACTCTGCCCCCCCGCCACTGGATTCATTAACAAGGACCTCTGCTTATTAAGTGAATGACTGCTCACCAAGCCAGGAATGGTGGCACACATCTGTAATCCTAGCACTTGAGGGCTCCTTATCCCACACCCCAGCCCGACCCCCAGCATGCAGACAGCAATTCCTCCTCCATTTCATTTAGAAGGATGTCCCTGGCCTTGTTCTTCCCCAGGACTCACCAATCTGGTCATTGCCATTGCAGGAGGCAAAATGGAGGGCTGTGCGGCCTTTGTCGTCAGCTGCGCAGGGGTCCGTGCCATCTTCCAGCAGCTGCTGCACTGACCACCAAGATGGGGGAGAAAGGGGAGAAAGCAGTAGTGTTAGCTATGCTACAGTCCCTAGGGATGGACGATGATGCCCAAGGGTCCTTCCCGATGAGCCATTCATAATTCACAGCAAAGTTGGTCCCTCCTAGATGCTGGCCCCTCAGGGACTACTGGCCCCAAGGAGAATTGTTATCTTAATGGCCATGGATCCGTTTTAACCTGTGTGTCTAGGGACTGGACAGAACATCAGAAGAGGCTCTTGATCTTTATGGTAGGAACTGCAGGGCACAGTAATTCTGGCACAGGGAGTGGCCCCATCCCTCTGTCTCCATGCTTAGGTACATTTTTATCCCATCTGGACACAGCTGAGCAAGCTACCGGCTGGTACTTGGTTCTCAAGAGGTCGCACTTTGAAAGGGAGAGAGCATAAGCCCCAGGGACGCATAAAATCCCAAGCTAAACTAAGCAAAAAAGGAGCGCACAGCATCGGCATGAGGTGCTGGCAGGAGCTGGGATGGGAACAGGCATGGAGGCCTGGATGTGCACAGCAGTCACAGAAAATGGGCATCATCTCTCTGCTGCCGCCTGTAGAGCCGCTGTGACGGAAATAATGGATGTGTTATTCCTTTTCTGACAGGGCGGGGCCCTGAAAAGAGGGAGACATTATGCACTAATGACCAAAAAGTGGGGAAAATTGCTGCCAGTCCTTTCAGCGTCAGTGACGTTTTAGTCTTTTTCCCAGAAGCCCCCTCAAGGATCTGAGTCCTTCCAGTCAAAGTCCAAACTGCTTCCTGTCCATGTAACTCGCCCCAGCTGAGTCAGCCTCTCCTCTCCCACATTTCTCCCACGTCCTGCCCATCCCGTTCTGTTTAACAGCAGGGGACTGTCCACTCTAGAACAGAGCTCACTGTACAGTGTACTTGGAATTCTTTTTTTTTTTTTTTTTGGTTTTTCGAGACAGGGTTTCTTTGTGGCTTTGGAGCCTGTCCTGGAACTAGCTCTGTAGACCAGGCTGGTCTCGAACTCACAAGAGATCCGCCTGCCTCTGCCTCCCGAGTGCTGGGATTAAAGGCGTGCGCCACCATCGCCCGGCTTGTACTTGGAATTCTGGCCAGGCAGCACCCTGACAACAGCCATGTAAGGTGTCACATCCACTTCACAGACCAGGACACTTTGGCCCCGTGAGATGTGAGGTTCATAGGCCACAGTGACCCAGGTGAAAAGAGGCAAAATGGGCTGCAAACTGGCGTCTCTGCTCCAGCTCAGCACATCACTGTTGCATTTTGCATTCCTGTCTGTATTTATTTTGTTTGGTTTGCTTTGGTTTGTCCTTTGGTTTTTTGAGACAGGGTTTCACTGTATGTAGCCCTGGCTGTCCTGGAGCTCACTCTGTAGCCCAGGCTGGCCTCAAACTGACCAAGATCCACCTGCCTCTGCCTCCCCAGTGCTGGGATGAAAGAAAGGTGTGCAGCACTCAGCTCCGTCTGGTTTTGAACTGGTGTCGCTTTATCGTCTTCCTCCTCAACTATATATAGGGTTTATAGCTTTGTATGAGGCATGGTGCCCCGTAAGTGCTGCCCCATTACTGTTGCTGACTGGCTGACCCGCTGGGTGTCATGTTTCACTCTTGTAACCACAGCACTCTAGAAACAGAGACAGGAGAATCACAAGTTCAAGGCCAAACTGAAAGACATCAGCCCCAATCCTATTCTCTGCCACAAGCCACAACATTATACAGTATTGCTTAGCTATCTTTTCACCAGTGACTTATCAGAGCCAGGGGCCCTGGTAAAAGTTAAACCAAAATTCAAGGAAATTTCAGTGTTGTTGCTTTGGGAATAAAGGGGGTGTCTTTTTGCTGTAGCTTTTCGATGTAGCTAACTCCCCTTCTGTTATGTATTTAGGAACTAATTCCCACAGTTCCGAACTGTCTCCTGTGCCTTTGGGGCTTACTAATCACATTCCCCTAGCTACATGAGAAAGCAGTTTCCCACTGCCAGGCCTTCGTTCCTCTCTCCTAGGTAAATGCAGAGAGCTGCCTTCCTGCAGTTATCTTTATCAGCAGGCATTGGTCAGTGTTCAGATTCCAGGCAAGAGCATCCCATTTATGATGTTCACAGCTATCCAAGGACACAGAATTACTGCTTGCCCAAGCTGCTGATTCATAGCTGCTTAGATAGGTAGCAGAATCCGCATGCTCTGGTTTTATCTCACTAAAAAGATTCCTAACTCCTTACGCTCACCTTCACCTCAGTTTACTGATGATTTTAGTTCAGGAAATTTACTGCTTGTGTTTACTCTCAAGGACAGCAGAAGAGATAATTAACAGCAACCTAAAGAAAGACCCACAACTCCCCCTGATCAGAACAACTGATAACAGCATACCCTGGAATTGATAATTTAGAGGCCTGGGTCTCCTCTTTGTTTCTACCACCTAGAGCAATAAATGTAAACTCCAGACCTAGACATGGTGAATGTGCTAATCAGATCAGGAGCCATTAGCTTCCCTGCCAACCCCCAGACTGTTTACATATGTTGCCTGGTTACCAGTATCCAGTACGCATGCCGGGAGATAAGCTGTGCACTGATTTAAAACACACTCTGTGCCCTATTCATAATTTTATAAAATAAAATTTTAATAAACCTTTATTAAAGTAGCTGAAATTTAAAGTAAACTAAACTGATCTTTTATTTACCACCTAAAATATAGCATTCCATCTAGAATTCCCTAATGATGTAATTCCTTTCTTAACTTTCTCCATTAAGGACGTGTGCTAGCCACACCCAACTTTGAACTGACAGCTGATATGGGAGTGTCATATATCAATCTGTTGATTTCATTGGTTAAGCAATAAAGAAACTGCTGGCTGGCCCTCATAGGTTAAAACATAGGTAGGTGGAGTAAACAGAACAGAAGGCTGGGAGAAAGAAGCTGAGTCAGTGAGTCGCCATGATTCTCCCACTCCAGGCAGATGCACGTTAAGATCATTCCTGGTAAGCCAGCTCGTGGGCTACAGCAGATTATTAGAAATGGGCTAGTCCAGGTGCGAGAGCTAGCCTAGAAGAGGCTAGATAGAAATGGGCCAAGCGGTGTTTAAAAGAATACAGTTTTGGTTAATTATTTCCGGTAAAGCTAGCCGTGCGTGCGGCCGGGTGCCCGGGACGCAGCTCGCCGTTCTTACTACTACAGAGTGGCACCCAGACATGATGGACTAAATCCACTTAAAAACCTGAGAAGGCTTAAAAATAAGAGGGAGAGAGTTTAACACAGATTTTTGCTGTTTGTTAGTGGCGTGCCGTAGAGAGATTTCCTGATTCGGCATCAGCAGCAGAAAAAAAAAACGCTGCGTCATTGCGGCTTCCTAGGGCTGTGCTGCCAACATGAACTCTGGCTTTAAAGCATTTCAATGGATTTTATAGGACTGGATGTTTGTGTTCCCTCTTGGGATCAGAAGGAGAGTGCTCTGAGACCCGTGCTGATGGCTCAGCACTCCCTGCCTGCACCTGGGCAGACAGCCGAATCAGGCTTAGGCAGGCAAGAGAGCATGGCGGATTAGGACTGCGCAGTGCTCTGGGTATCAGATTTGGATGTAGCTTAGATGAAAAGAATTTTATGCTGCACGCTCGGTCTCAGAATTGAACTGCTGACTGCAGCACCAATGTGGACTTGCTGTGTGCCTGGAACTGTGCTCAGCTGGGGGGGGGGGCACCAAATGGATCTGAGGCAGGAGCTACTGTAATTACTTTAATAACAGCGCATTTAAGATTTCGACTGGGCAGGACACAGACGGTACCATATTACCTGTACATGGTGCAACTTAAGTTTTTAAGAACTGCTTAACATTTTAAGAAATGCTCCTGAATAGTAAAAAAAAAAATGTTACAGATTCACAATAAAACAGATTCAGACATAAAAGACCACACTGTTGGATGAATGTACGTAGGCTTGAGAGAGAGAAGAAAAAGAATATAGAGAATAAAGTTAATGGTTTTAAAAAAAAAAAAGGTAAAGTCTTTAAAGAGACAGAGTACAGATAGTTAAGAGATTAAAAGAAATAAAGAAAAATAAGCCACGTAAAAATGGAAACTTCACAGAGAGTCTGGATTATGTACATTGTGTTTTCTTTAAAATTTTTGACTGTAAAGGAGCTAAGTACAGAGAGACATTTCATTACATGGGCTGCCAAGCTAAACCAGAATGGATATAAGGGTATTACGATTTCAAAATTTGGGTCTAAGGATATGATGCTTTGGAGAGGGTCTTCTTTTGTTTTCACAGAGGACCAGACCCTGTGGATTGCATCTTTCCCGATATGGTATGATAGACCACGACCTCCCGAAAAGTTCCTGTGAACACCCTCAAAAAAATTACTTCACTCAACTGCCAACTGAGATAAACCTGGTACACAGGTTACACCCTAAATGATCTGATTAACAGCGCCCCCATTCAGCAGGAAGCAGTTTGGAGAGAAAAAACTGCGCCCATGTTCCCAAAATATTGTTTATAAATGTTCTTTTACATTTAAAGGGGGATATGATATAGATATGAATAATTTGCATTGGTATGGATTTTAAGGTCAATTTCGTTATATGTATTTCTTGATCTTGATTAAGGTATTGTGATTGTGTAGTTCATTTAAAAATGTATTGTATAATTAAGAAATATAGGTTGTTAATGGATAATCATCGATAATAGTAAAGCTTGTAGTCATGTTAGTTAGATTTTCTAGATATATAGAGATATATTTCAGATAGGCATTCTTCATATCTCTCAAAGGCTGCAGAATATGGCATTTAAAATACTCTAATAACTTAGGGTTTTTCATGACAATAAGACATGTCTGCTCCTGGCGGCACCAATCTACTTCGAGAGGAAGATGGGCATCGAAGAGGATCATTATGGAGTTTGATAGCCATTTGGGCAAGAAACTGCTCTTGCCTGGACTGATGCATAAACTGGACACAAAGAACCCGCAGAGAGAGGACTGCTGAACTTGCCTAAAGGTGAGATGGTCTTTCGGGGTTCCTGACTCATGAAAGAGTCTGCGAGACATTCTGCAGGATACAGCAGAAAGTGACTGAACTGTCTTTGGAATTTCCTACTTGATGAAAATGTCTACTGGATACTATGGGCCTGAAGGCTGAAGATGGATGCCCCAACGGTACAAAAGAACTTTGGGCCGGGCGGTGGTGGCGCACGCCTTTAATCCCAGCACTCGGGAGGCAGAGGCAGGTGGATCTCTGTGAGTTCAAGACCAGCCTGGTCTACAAGAGCTAGTTCCAGGACAGGCTCCAAAACCACAGAGAAACCCTGTCTCGAAAAACAAAAAAAACAAAAAAAAAAGAACTTTGGGTGACTGTCCAGGCAGCGAGATGTCTCTGTCATTTCTAGAGTTTTCTTATTTCTTGTTTATGTAGGTAGTATTATATCCTTCTGGAGTCTTTGATGGAGTTGAAAAATGAATAGTTATAGTTTTCCATTGTTATAAAAGATAAAATAGATATAAACATTGTAACTGTAATTCTTGCTTGATAACTGTTTTATATGTAATTTTGCTATGTTAAAGTTAAAGCTTTCTTTTTTTGTTGTTTAAACAGAAAAAGGGGAAGTGATGTGGGAGTGTCATATATCAATCTGTTGATTTCATTGGTTAAGCAATAAAGAAACTGCTTGGCTGGCCCTCATAGGTTAAAACATAGGTAGGTGGAGTAAACAGAACAGAAGGCTGGGAGAAAGAAGCTGAGTCAGTGAGTCGCCATGATTCTCCCACTCCAGGCAGATGCACGTTAAGATCATTCCTGGTAAGCCAGCTTGTGGGCTACAGCAGATTATTAGAAATGGGCTAGTCCAGGTGCGAGAGCTAGCCTAGAAGAGGCTAGATAGAAATGGGCCAAGCGGTGTTTAAAAGAATACAGTTTTGGTGTAATTATTTCGGGTAAAGCTAGCCGTGTGGGCGGCCGTTCTTACTACTACAGACAGTCACAGCTCTGTGTACGCGCATGAGTGTATGTGAGCATGCACATGAGTGTGAAAACTCTTTTACAGGGAAAAAGCATTCCAGTCCTGGAACCTACTAGGGCTGGGGAACAGCTGGTTATAAGGGCATATATTACTGGGAATGTTTGTAACAGGAAAATTAATTAAGAAGAGAAAAAGAGAAGAATAAAGGAACATGAATAGACAAATCCTGTTGTGAGTAGATTTTTTAACCCCCAGACTTTAGTTCCCTATGCTTACTGTGGTGTCTTTGATTGGACCCTGAGAGGGGTTTCTTACGAGCTGGACTCTAAGGAAAGATGGTTTTTAAAAAGTGGCCAGGTGGGCAGGAAGGGTCTAACCTGATGATCTGAGTTCAATCACTGAAACCCACGTGGTAGAAGGAGGGAACAAGTACACATATGGTATGGGAGGTCCTTCTGTCTGTGTGTTGCTTATATTGGTTAATGAATAAATAAACTGCCTTGGCCTGATAGGGCAGAACTTAGGTAGGTGGAGAGGACTGGACTGAATGCTGAGAGGAAGAAGGGCGGAGTCAGAGAGCTGCCATGAAGCTGCCAGAGTCAGACATGCTGAATCTTTGCCAGTAAGCCACTGCCACGTGGTGGTAATATACAGATTAATAGAAATGGGTTAAATTAATATGTAAGAGTTAGTAGCCAATAAGAAGTTAGAGCTAATAGGCCAAGCAGTGATTTAATGAATACAGTTTCTGTGTGGTTATTTCAGGGCTAAGCTAGCAAGGGTGGCTGGGAACTGAGCAGCAGGACAAACAAGTGGGCCTTCCTCTTACACACGTAAGTTGTACAATGACATCTACAAGCATACACATGCTCCCCAAAACAATAAATATGAAAAAATAATGTCTATTATCTTTCATTGCCAAACTTTCTAAGTTGATGCTCAAATATCCTCAAACATTAAATTTCATGGAAAACAGACCAAGGCAAGAAGTGGACAAACCTTCCAGGTTCTGGGCCTGCTGACTACTGCTGAGCCAAAAGCAAGGGAACCATCTGGAAGCAGGTCCCTGAGATAACTGTGCCTATCCCATGACTGCTGTAAGGGGGCTCCTGTAACCATGGCCCCTCACTGTTCACATCTTACCTGTTGCCACAACAGCCCACCACCAAATCAGAATGCTGTACCCTGGAGGGAGGCAGAATAATGGCCCTCAAATTTTGTGGATGTTACTTCCAAGGCAAAAGCAATTTCTGCAGATCTGCACAAGGCTAAAGACTCTAAACTATGGAGACATTGCTGGATCATCCAGGCCCAGTGGAACTAAATGAGTCCTTTAAACCAGGGGACCCTTTCCTACTTAATAAGCTAGAGAAGGCAAAATGAGGGCTCAGCTCACTGCTAGGGGTTTGTGGATGACAAAGAGGCCTAAGAGAGGCCTGGCAACTTAGAAGTTGCAAAGCAAAGAGAAACCGATTCTTCCCATGACCCTCCAGAAATGCAGACAGGTGGAGTTTTGGCCTGGCCAGGAAATCTGGCCTGGAGGTGTGACCTGCAGAACTGTCCATGCCACTCGTGATGCTGAGCACTGAACGTAGGTTGTTTGTGGAGGCTTTTCTGACGGTGAATTCTGACTTGATCAGAGAAGTACCTAGATCACCATCAGTGTGAACCTATGAGGGCATTCTCAGAGAAGATTCCGGAAGGCCACCCTGAGTGGGGCAGCACCATCCCATAGGTTGCGGGCCCAGAAGGGCAGGAAAGAAGAGGGAGCCTGAAAGCTCATGCATGCTCCCTGCTTCCTGCCACAGGGACACTGACCTCTTCTGCCATGCCCTCCAGCAACAACCAATGGAAACTTGCTTTGTTTTGCTTTTTAATTTATCCATCTTTTTGTGTTTTTGTGTATGTATGGTTTCTGATCATGGTATGTACAAGTGCATGTGCCTATGTGTGTGCATGCAGGGACCAGAAAAGGGCATCAGGGATCCTCTGTCATTTGCCACCTTATTTTAAGATACAAAGTCTCTTACTGAACCTGTAGATTCCTGCTGCAGTTCGGATGGCTGGCCACCAAGCTCCTGGGATCCACCTGTTTTCAACCCTGATGCTGGGGTTACAGGTACATGGAGCCATGCCTGACTTTTTTACATGGGTCCTGGGGATTTGAACTCAGGTCCTCTTGCTTTTATGGCAAGTACTCTTACCCACTGAGCCATTCACTAGGCCAAACCTATTATTTTTATCTCACTCTATACCCCAGGCTTTTTTAGAACTTGCTGTGTAGACCAGACCGGCCTTAATAGTCATCCAACCACCTCTGCCTCTTAAATTCTAGGATTAGGGCATACTCCACTGCACTGAGGTCTGAATGGAGTAGATGAGCTGAGCATTAAAAGATCTGAATTCGGGGCTGGTGAGATGGCTCCGCAGTTAAGAGCATTGTCTGCTCTTCCAAAGGTCCTGAGTTCAATTCCCAGCAACCACATGGTAGCTCACAACCATCTGTAATGAGATCTGGTGCCTTCTTTTGGCCTGTAGGCATACATGCAGACAGAATATTGTATATATAATTAATAAAGATTTAAAAAAAATTTTTTTTTTCGAGACAGGGTTTCTCTGTGGCTTTGGAGCCTGTCCTGGAACTAGCTCTGTAGACCAGGCTAGTCTCGAACTCACAGAGATCCGCCTGCCTCTGCCTCCCGAGTGCTGGGATTAAAGGCATGAGCCACCACCGCCCGGCTTAAAAAAATTTTTTAAAAAAAGATCTGGATTCAGGAGCAAAAGTAATCTCCTTCCTTAGGTGCAAGTTTGTCACCATGACAAAGTCTGACGATACAGCAGCCACAGTAACCCAACACGCCACTTCCCCTGACACATGGGAGGTATTGTTAGCAGATTAAATTAGTAGCAGCAGTGGTAGTAGCAGCAGCATTTGTCCTAGAAGCTGCCCTTGTACCTCTGATGCTCTACCTCAGTTAGGGAATGCTCAGAAACAGCAACAGAAAGTCAGCTACAGTGTCCTGCAGGGATCCCACCCATGCTTGTGAGATGCCCTTTCAGTAACAGGTCTGAGGACAAGTCACTGGAGAGCCAGGGATGCCAGATGATTACCCGGCAGTCAAGGGAGTGTTCACTGATGCTGGATGCCCTTCGGTATGCTGTGAATATATTTTATTACCACTGGTTAATAAAGAAGCTGATTTGGCCAGTAGCCAGGCAGAACAGAGTCAGGTGGAAAATCCAAGCAAAGATACAGGGACAAGGAAGGCAAAATCAGGGAGGTGCCAGCAGCCACTGGAGAAGAAAGATGTGAAGTAACAAGCCACGAGCCTCGTGGTAAAATGTAGAATAACAGAAAAGGGTTAATTTAAGTTGTAAGAGCTAGTTAATAATAAGCCTGAGCTAAAAGGCCAAACAGTTTGTAACTAATATTAAGCCTCAGAGTGGTTATTCAGGAACTGGTGGGTAGGAAAAAAACCTGGAGGTCATTCCTACCAAAAGTGGGCACTTGCTCTTTGCTGAGGGCTATGCTGAACCCCAAAGATTTAAAGAAAAACACAAAACACTGGCATGGTCCCTAGCATCAGGAAGCATACAGGGCACTGTGACACCAGGAGACACTGGTAACAGAGGGGCATGGTGAGACAGTGAGGGAGTCCTACACCCTACTTCTGTTTTGCAGTGACTTCAGAGTCAGGGAGTGAACAAGGTGAGCATGCCCCGAGGGAAGGAGGGTGATCTGGCTTTTCCCTTCCCCATCAGCCCACAGGTCCCACTGTGCACACTCACCTGTTTCTACATCATTGGCATTGGCCGAGTCCCTCAGCCTCTTCAGAGCTATAAAAACAGAAAAGACAGTTAAAAAAAAAATGACCATAACAAAACAGAAGGCACATGGCTTCTGAGCTTTCCTTGATCGTCTACCCTTCAGTCATAGCAGTACAGAAAGGCAAAGGTGTCGGGACAGAAACCACCAGTCTGGGAACAAGGAGAAACTGGAACTGGACCACAGTTGGAGGAGAGACCAATTTCTGTAGCAAACTGACTTCTGGAACCAGATCTAATTTCTGCCACTTGTGGTAGCTGGCGATCTTGAGCAAGAAAGTTACTTACCCTGGGCCCCAGCCCATCATCTATAAGACAATGCTGAGCTGTTTGGCCAGCTCTTAAGTTGTTACAAAGAAAATTGAGATAATATTTTTAAAATAGGAAGAATGAGAGGGTTTGCTTAGTCCTTTGTAAGATAATCACACCCAAGCTTTTATTATTCTTCTTCACAGCGGTCATTCCTAAATGACTTACCAAGCAGAAACTTCTTTGCCCTCTTTGCACTGATTCTGACTCTACTTTAGAACAAAACTAACAGCCTCTGTTGTCTGAGAATGGTCAAAAAAAATGCAAACTAGATATAATGATTGCAGGCATCTATATGCACTTTTTTTGTTACAGCACTTTGAAATTCTCTTTTAAACTTTATTGAGTCAGGGTTTCTCTGTGTAGCCCTGGCTGTCCTAGAACTCACTCTGTAGACCAGGCTGGCCTCGAACTCACAGAGATCTGCCTGCCTCTGCCTCCCAAGTGCTGGGATTAAAGACAGGGACACCATTGCCCGACCCTCTTTTGACTTTTAAGACACCAGGTCAAATGGTGCTAGTCTGAAGAGACCTTAAAACTTTCCATTCTTGGGGTTGGAGATGTGGCCCAGAAATTAAGAGGACTGGCTGCTCTTTAGAGGTACTAAGTTCAATTTACAGCAACCACATGATGGCTCACAACCATCTATAAATGAGACCTGCTGTCCTCTTCAGGAGTGTAGGGATACATGCAGGCAGAATACTGTATACTGTATACATAATAAATAAGAAAAAACCCTTTCCATTCTTAATCCTTCTGCACCCCATTTTCCTTTTCACCCACAAACTGTAGAAAACAATATAACAGATATACCAGGATGGTCTGGCTGACCTGAGCTGGACTACGGTACAACCTTTTTCTATGTGACTTGAGATCGGCAGTCCAGATGGGAGTAACTGGACTTGGTGTGATAATATGTATTTTATTTGGGGATGCTGAGATGGCTCAGTGGGAAAAGATGCTTGCTACAAAACCTGACCTCCCCAGTGCAATCTGCAGGATTCACACTGTGAACCAGGCTAACCTTGAACTCACAGAGATCTCCCTACCACCTCTGCCTCCTCAGAATTACAGGTGTGCACCATCACACCTGGCCGTTTTTCTTGTGTATAGCAAATTCTGTACAAGTCACTTCTCGTGGGTCACAATCTATCTCTTGAAATGATTATAAAAGTTTGTGAATCAAATGAGTGTTTGGCCATCACAAAGGTAGGCTTTATAAGCAGAACCTTACTTTTTTTTTTCTTATTCGAGACAGGGTTTCTCTGTAGCTTTGAAGCCTGTCCTTCAACTAGCTCTTGTAGACCAGGCTGGCCTCGAACTTACAGAGATCCACCTGCCTCTGCCTCCCGAGTGCTGGAATTAAAGGTGTGCGAACCTAACTCTTAATACCCCCAGTAAAGCTAGTAGTGTACCCATTCTACATATAGAAAACTGGGGCTACAAGTGTCTGTAGGTGTGTCAGGGCCACGTGTGGAGCAGTCTGGTTCAGATCTGTGCATTCACACAAGTAGGTATGGCATAGCCACAGGCTCTTGGCTTCCTTCTTTAATAATAAAAATATTCTCAATCGTCCCACATTATTGTCTACTAACAACCACCCTCGAAAGTGGAAAGATTTTTTTAGTGATGTCCAAGTGGCCGAAGACACGGTCCTCGTTAGCTCTAACTACTGCGATCACTCACGAGCGACCCCAGGATCCCTGGCAGAGCTCACCGTGCACCTCCTTGCCCGTGGGCCCGAGCCGGCGGTGGGGCCTGGCAGCACGCCTCAGCCGTCCGGCGGGGATCTTGCAGCGCAGTTCATCGCGGGGCTCGGTGTCCTGCTGCCACAGGACCTGGAGGTAGCGCAGCGGGGACTGGGCCCTGCCGGCTGCCCGGCCCGGGAGGCCTGCACCGCCGCCCAGCGCAGCGCCTAGGTCCGCGAAGGAGAACAGGCCTCCGGTTTCCGCCAGAGGCTCCGGCGCCACCGCGCATTCGCCGTCGGAGCTCGAGCGGCCGGATCGGGACTCGTCATCCGCGTCCCCGCCGGTGGCTGCCATGGCAACGGCTAGGCGCGGGCCTGGCAGCGCCAACCTCGTTCCGGACCGACCAACGGACCCGCTTCCCTCCAGGAGAAGCCTCGCTGTCAGCGAGCGGGAGGGCGGGGCCTGCAACCACGGCAACAGAGTGCGGGCAGACCGGGCCGCGTAAAGCGTCGGACCAATCAGACACTGCAGAACATGTACAACCCAGCCAATCAGGCAAGGAAGGCAGAGTATAAGGAGAACACTGGTTTACGGTGGTCTGACTGGCGGACAGATAAGCCAATCACAAATTGGAATTACTACGCACTAAGCGTGTGTTCCTACTGGAGCCAGTAAAAAAGCTGAGTTCTGGGCACTTCCCCCCCCCCAGCCGGGCACTTCCCCCCCCCCCCTCTACTTCCAGTTCTTCCTGTCGTAGGTCCGGAAAGACGACTGGCAAATGCTTTAGCCAATCACGGTAAAATGCTCCCCAGCGACTCGGAAACTAGTCTGGTGTAGGTGTGTTTTGAATCAATGAACAGACTTACAAAACGCGGTTTTCGACAAAACGCACGATGATTTGGAAATATCACCTCTAGGCAGGCGGTAATATCTTCTAACATAATAGATTTCGCTCCCTCAGGGTTCACTTGCCCTCGAGGGGAATCATTGCTTTAAAAAAGATTTTTTAAAAAAGATTTATTTATTTATTATGTATACAGTGTTCTGTCTGCCTATATTTCTGCAGCCAGAAGAGGCCATCAGATCTCATTATAGATGGTTGTGAGCCACCATGTGGTTGCTGGGTCTTAAACTCAGGACCTCTGGAAGAGTTGTGGGTTCTCTTAACCTCTGAGCCATCTCTCCAGCCCTTAACACAATTTTAATTCATTGTAATTAAACAAGAGTAACCCTTCAGTAGACAGATTAGTGCAGAACTATTATTTAGCCTTGAAAGTCCCACCTAACACATGCCTGAACCTGACATAAGAGGGCTGCAAGCACACACACACACACACACACACGTCATTTACATTTGGTCAATTCGTACATAAAATAGAAAACAATCGAAAGAAATTTATTTCCTTGGTAAATAAATACCTGTATTGTTGCCTTGTGGGACTCCCAAGGACTTGGATTCTAGTTTTGTTGTACCCCGTGTTTGCAGTTTGGGTGCAACTTCTTGGAGCCAATCTTTGGAGCCAGTCTTTGGACCAGGAGTCTTTCTAGGAAGAGTATGAATACCAGCTCAGGCCAGATCCAACACATTGCCTTTCCTTTGCATCTTTCTTTGCCTCCACCTGCTGGCCTTCACAGTGTGTTAGAGAAGTTTGAACTGATTATCAGCATTTAAAATTTGACAGCTGGTGGTGCCAAAGAGATGGCTCAGCGGGTACGAGCACTGTCTGCTCTTCCAGAGGACTTGGATATAATTCCCACCACCCACATGGCAGCTCACAACTGTCTATAATTCCAGTTCCAGGGGATCTGGCATCCTCACACAGACATACTTGCAGAACACCAATGCACATAGAAATAAATAAACCTAGCAAAAATATTTTTTAAAGATTTGGCAGCTAAGCCAGCAAGATGAAGAGTGTTTCTCAACCTGTGAGTCAAAAACAGCCCTTCCACAGAAGCAGCCTAAGACTATCTGCATATCTGTTTTTTACATTATGATTGATAACAGCAGCAAAATGACAGGAAGTAAGCAACGAAAAGAATTGTATGGTTGGGGTTCCACAGCATGAGAAGCTGTATTAAGGGTCGCAGCGCCAGGAAGGGTGAGAAGCATTGGCTCAGCGGCTGGAAACTCCTGTTGCAATAGCCCAAATACCTGGCTGTGATCCCAGATCTTGTGGTGGAAGTTCTCCCTCAGCCTCCACACTTGCTCCATGACATGGACACACTGGCAATCTGTCTATCTTCCCTCTCCTTTTCCCTCCCTCCTTCACCCCTGCTCTCACACCACAAATAATAATAAAAATTTAAAATGAGACTTTGCAACTTTTTAATGGCATTCTCCTAAAAACGGGAAGGTATGTCAACTCATCACCTGGTTTCCCCACTGCGCCTGTTGTACATTGTTATTTCAGGCTTACTATGCAGCCTAGGATGACCTTGAACTTCACTTCTTGAAAAGTACTAGGACCACAAGCACCCAGCACCCTCACGTTTGGGTGTTTCTGGGTATCAAACCCAGAGCTTTGTGCTTGGTAGGCAAGCACCCTGTCTACAGAGTTACACCCAGTTCCTGCTCTCCTTTCCCTTCCCTACATAGTCTCGCCACCCTTGTTGCCTTCTGATGGAGGCTGAAAGGCAATTGACACTTCCTGTCGTATTCTTAGGAATCCCCCCTCCCCCGTCAGAGTTTCTCTGTGTAGCTCTGACTGTCCTTGAATTTTCTCTGTAGACTAGGTTGGTCTTGAATTCAGAGATCCTTCTGCCCTATCCCCCAAGTGCTGGGATTAAAGGTGTGCGCCACCATCCAGAAAGTCTATTCTTAAGATAAACTAGCAAGAAATCAAAATTTTGCTTTTTTTACTCAAAAGTGGAATGTTGAGGCAGGATACGATGCCATAAACCTTTAAGCCCAGCATTCAAGAGGCAGAAGAAGGTAGATCTTTTTTTTTTTTTTTTTTTTTTGAGACAGGGTTTCTCTGTGGCTTTGGAGCCTGTCCTGGAACTCGCTCTGTAGACCAGGCTGGTCTCGAACTCACAGAGATCCGCCTGCCTCTGCCTCCCGAGTGCTGGGATTAAAGGCGTGCGCCACCATCGCCCGGCAGAAGGTAGATCTTTGTGAGTTTGAGGGTAACCTGGGCTATATTGTGAACTGCAGACCAGCCAGAGCTAGAAAGTAAGACATAGACGTTTGGTTTTTCGAGGCAGGATTTCCCTGTCTCCTACATTCTTTATGCCTCTTCTTTTGACTAGATCCCTGAGCCCTGGGGGCGGAGTCTGATGAAGACAGCGGCTTTAGCTGTGAGCGCTCCAGAGTCTCTCACTTCCTGCACATTTTCCAGGTGTGGATCTTTGTGTTAGTTTCCATCTGCAGGAAGGAGCCTCTCTGATGTTGACTGAATGAGGCACTGATTCTGAGGTTTCTGTTGGACATCCTAAAATTTTCATTTCTAGTTTTATTGCAGTTTGTGGTTTCTTTAGTGATTCTATTTCTACTTTCATCTCTCAGCCGTTTTCAGTATTTCATTCAATAGTTTGTGCTTTCAGTGTCTTCATTAAGGGATTCATTCTTATCCTCTTTAAGGTCCTTGAACGTATTTATACTTGCTGCTTTGAAGTTCTTATCTTGTGCTTCAATTATATTGCATTTTTTATTCTTTTCTTTTTCTTTCTTTCTTTCTTTTTTCTTTTTTCTTTTTTTTTTTTTTTTTTGAGACAAGGTTTCTCTGTGTAACAGCCCTAATCAATCAGCCTGGAACTCACTCTGTAGATGAGGCTGGCCCCAATCTCAAGAGATCTGTTTGCCTCTGCCTCCTGAGTGCTGAGATTAAAGGTTTGCACCACCACTACCTGGATTTTTTTTTTTTTTTAAAGCAAACCTCTGGGCTGGAGAGATGGTTTAGAAGGTAATAGCACCTACCTGCTCCTCTTCCAGTTCCAGGGAATCTGACACCCTCTTCTGGCCACCAAGGGCATTGCATATGGTGCACATACATATACATAGGCAAAACTTTTATATATACGAAATAAGATGACTAAATCTAGAAAGAAAATAATAGAACAAAGCAAAACAAAACAATACCCAGACAAGTAATCAGATTGTGTATTTGTGGCCAAGAACAATATATTCTTCAAAGTGCATGGTGAAAGGAAAAGATAGAATTTAAGATACAATAAGGAGACAGCCTGCCCCTTCATTGGCCTTTTTATTATAGAGTGTGCCTCAGTTTAGACTTTGCCCAATAAAGTCTATACAGGAGGATCCACAATGATGCTTCTAGCTCTCACTGGTAAAATGCAAGTGGGGTAGGTAGGGCTTCTGAGATACCGCTCAGAGCAGTGAAACAAACGGGGTAGAAGGGGAGCAACAAGCAAATCTCATGGCCATGGAGAAAGGAGCTTCAAACACATTCGTCTGCAAAGCCTAGATAGGCTGGGATAGACTAATGACCCAAGCCAGAGAATTTCCTGCCTCAAACCCCAGGCAAAAGAGCAAGAGAAAAAAAAGCAGCATTGCAGCTGCTGAATCCCCTGTTCCAGGAGCCGGAGGCTGCTCTGTTCCTTCTCCTTTGAAGTCCTGCTCCTCCGATTACAAAGGAGCCTTGCAAAATCAAACTCCCCGTGATGAAAGATTGCATAGTCTGTGAAGGGCTTTCATCTGCTCACCAAAGTTGCTTTTCTTTTTTTTTTTATGAAACAAAAATCTTTATTGCTACAATATACAAATACAGGGGGAGTGCAATGGGTAGACTTAGGCACTCATTAACAAAACAGGTTTACTCCAGACATCTACAATACAGTTCTTAAGGTCTATCAATCCTTCAAAACAAGACAGGGACATTTGTCCATATACTGGAGACCTTTATGTTTAGGGACAGCCAGAGGGATAGAAGCATCAAATAGTGCCCCACAGACATGCGATTTACCATGGTGACATACTTCAGAAATCTCTGCGTGTAGGTTAAAGCAGGAAGATTTCAAGGCCAGCCTGCGCAATATACCACTATGAAAGAGACGGAGAGGGAGCAAGCTCTGTGGCTTATCTGTGACCTCCCAGTACAAATGGACTAGATAGAATGCCTCGACCATTCCATTCCCCAAACCTCATAGGAGTGCAGTGCTCGTTTTAGGCTGGAAACTTTGTACACAGAGGTACTAAGCAGACACACAGTGGGACATAACCGACACCCAGGCAGAAGACAAGCTCTCCTGCCTTTACTTTCATTAATCAGGATTCTCTCAAGGTTAAAGGAACAGAACTGATAGAACTATATATAGTAGAAATAGATGAACTTTAGGACCAAGGATGTAGGAGTCGTCCATCCACAAGGGTGGAAGTCTCTTACAGTTCCCTTCTTCCATATCTTTTTATATATGCTGCCAAGAGAAGGCATGGTTTCAACACAGGATGGGTGTGTTTCCTCAAATAATGTGATGAAGAATCTCACCTCACAGGAATGCTCAGCAGCATGGGTTCTAGTTGATTACAGGCATAGCCATGTTGACAAACCAGGTTAGCCATCAGAGACGTCTAGAGATCTTGGACAAGGGGTCAGGGAACACAGGGTCTTTCGAGCTCAAGAATCAAAAGAAAACCATGGCACTGAATCCAGGTTAATGGCATGGAAGGACACCAGAACACCCAGTCAAAAAAATCAGACCCTTCCTCTAAACCGCCATGTAGGAGAAAGTCACTTACGATCATGTCCTGGCAAAACCCTTTTAGAAAATGCAAAACTGGGGCTAGAGAGACAGCTCTGCAGCTCAGAGTGCCTGTTCCTACAGAGGACCCAGGTTAGATTCCCAGCCCCACACGGTAGTTCACAGCCACCTGTAACTCCAATTCCAGGAAATCCAATCCTTCATCTGACCTCCACAAGCACCAAGCATGCATATGTGCAAGGAAATCACTCACACCCTTGATGAAATACCTATTGCTAGGTTTTCAATTCTCAGTATCAAGAAGCAACCTTCCCCACTTACTGCCAACAATGACAAAGTCTGGCCTCCAGGTCATAGATACAGCGCTGACAACATTTGTGACACATGTGTGTAGCAAAGGAGACTCTCTTGAGCTGCCTGACAGTAATCAGTGTATCCATGAGCTCAGGACAAAGTTGAGCAAATCTTCCCACATGGACATCACCCCTGTCATCATAGCATTCTAGAGGGGCGGGGTACAGCTCTTGGATCAGCTGGTTGAGGTTGGCTGTGTGATACAGAAGGTCTTTCAGGACAGCCATGGAGATATCATTGTCATAGAAATTGACCCTAGTGAGTTGGGAGCACTGGCTCAGGGCAGGCAGGAGGGTAATGAGCTGAGAGTCCACCATCCAGCAGCCCTCCAACTCTAGGGTCTGCAGAGTGCCCGCAACACTGTTTAGGAGATCATGGAAAGGTGTAGGATATAGGTCAATTAATTTCACAAGCCTCAGATTCAGGTGTTTCAGCTGATGGAGACTCTGACTCTGGGACAAGGAATTCAAGTCTAACTGTGAAAGCTTGCACACAGTGATGGATAGGGTCTCCAAAGGGGTCTTCAGGTACCTGAACAACTGTTTCATGTGCTCACTGGAAAAGTAGACCCCATTCATGGAGAGATGCTGCAGACAGTTGAGTTTAGAGAACTGAGAAACAAACTTAGTGATACACTTCTGTATGTCTGAGGGGGTATTTAGAACCTTAAAGGTGTTCTTGTGGATCCGTGTTAAAAGGAGTTTTTGAAGATTTCTCATCTGGTCCAGGTAAGATACAAAATGCACCAGAGTGGACAGACTCCAACCTGTATTCAGTTCCAACTCCTGGATGCTGTCAGGCTGGAAAACCATCAGGACTTTCCTGACAGTGTACACGGGCAATGCCCATATCTGCATCTTCACACAGCACAGCCTGATGAAACTTCTTCTCTGCTGGGCCCACTGTAACAAGTATGTTTGCTGTTCATTCAGATGGAACCTGAGGCAAAGGTCTGCGACCACCTTCAAACGCTGCCTCAGGGCGTATCTAGGAGAGCGCTTCACCGCTTGCTTCTTACCCACAGCCTCTGCCGAGCACTCTCCATCCTCTGTGCCAGCCCAAACATCCCAGAAGTTGTGCTGCACATTCCTCAAGTCGAGCACCTGGAGCTTCCCCCTCCTGGGGAGCACCTTCTGTGTTCGCAGCATGTCTACTCCATCCAGGACTGCCTGCAAGGTCTCCAGGTGGGAAGTCTTCATGAGGGTCCCCACGGGAAGGAAGCTGAACGGCCAAACTGCTACCATAGCCCTCAGAGTGTTACTTTGTCCGTGGTTGAAGGCTTCCTTGAACAGCGGTGGGAACAGCACCCTGGGCAGGCACTGCAGAGCAGAGATGGCCAGGGCTTCGTCCCTCAGCAGGCTCTGCACTGCCAGATGCAGGAGTGTGGGTGGGTCCTGACCACTCATTCTTCAGATCTTCAATCTGAAGCAATCAGAAACAAGCACTAATTACAGAACTCAGAACCCCAGAAGAGTCAGGCAGCCACTCCAAGCTTGCGCTCCAAGGCTGTGAGTATCTTTCCCGGCTCTTCTCGCTTTTCTTTTTTTTTTAATATTTATTTATTTGTTTATTTTTTTTCTTTTTTTCCCATTTATTTATTTATTAAAGATTTCTGTCTCTTTCCCGCCACCGCCTCCCATTTCCCTCCCCCTCCTCCAATCAAGTTCCCCTCCCTTGTCAGCCCATAGAGCTATCAGGGTTCCCTGCCCTGTGGGAAGTCCAAGGACCACCCACCTCCATCCAGGTCTAGTAAGGTGAGCATCCAAACTGCCTAGGCTCCCACAAAGCCAGTACGTGCAGTAGGAGCCAGTACGTGCAGCAGGCCAACGTTGCTTTTATAAGTTGTGTTAAGGTACTGTCAAGCAACAGACCTAGTCCCGACTCAAAGGCAATTGTACAAATACAGGTTGAAACATAAGCGAGAGACCGAGGTAGCTGCTACAGTACAGCTGACACGGTGGGAGCCTAGACACGAGTGGTGGGGACAAGGTGGGGAGACCTAGCTTACAGGAATGTTTCTGGAAGCAGAGCCGGCAAGATTTGCACATGTGCCAGGCAGTGGTGCTGCATGCCTTTAATCCTGTCTTCGGGAAGCAGAGGCAGATGGATCTCTGTGAGTTCGAGGCTAGAGTGAGTTCCAGGATAGCCAGAGTTCCACAGAGAAACCTTGTCCCCTCCCCCCCCCCAAAAAAACACAGAGAATACATTGGATATGAGAGGGAAGGAAGGGTGGCTGTGGAGGTTTTGACGTGAGCAACAGTAGAGGACATGCTGTCCTTATGCCCACAGATAAGCACTGGGTAAACCAGGAATGATAAGTACACCTGTTTTCCACCCTGAAGGCTGGGACTGGTTGTGGTTAATAACCTGCTGGCCTTTGCTACCTGTAATGCCAGGCTTGAGTCCCCCAGAATGTTTATCCTGGACACTCTCTCCCTAGACCTTTATCTTTAGCTTTGTTTCTCAGTCAATAGAACCTATCCTTAGGGACGCTGTCACGTGAACTTTATATGGTAACCTCTATACTATCTTGATGAGAGACCACACCAGATCCTGGGCTCTTGAGTTATAGAATCTATCCTCATGGTAGAGGTCACATGTACTTTGGCAAAGAGTTTTGATGCAGTCACGCCTTAAGCTTTATTGTATACCCGGGACTGAGATAACCGTTATCAGGAAACTTTTTCCCCGCAAATGATATTGTACTTCAATATGTCTAAAATAAACTGCCCAGTGTCAGACTCTAGAAGTTGGAATCAGCACTGGTCAAGTAGTGCCAAACCTGATTTCCTTTCTTGCCTCTCTGTTCATTTTCCTGTTGGCTGTAGCATTTTCAGGGACCACCCCCCCACACACACACACAAGCAACTGGAAAACTAAAGTTGTCCTTAATTGAGAAGGGAAAACTGCGGTTGAAACTGGGTTGACCTGAAAGTCAGGTCACTTTGAAAGTGTTGTTGTTGTTGTTATTATTATTATTATGGTTTTTGTTTTGTTTTGCTGTATTTGTTTTGTTTTGTTTTTGAGAAAAGCTTTCTCTGTGTAGCCCAGAGCTGGAACTTGCTCTGTAGACTGGGATGGCCTCAAACTCAGAGATCCATCTGCCTCTGCCTCCCAAGTACAGGACCTGGCTATCATCATCATTAGTGATGCTGGTGATCAGATCCAGAGCCTTACACGTGCGATGAAGCCCTGGCTGTCCTAGAACTCACTTTGTAGACCAGGTTGGCCTTGAACTCAGAGATCCACCTGCCTGTGCTTCCTGAGTGCTGGGATTAAAGGCACGTGCATTAAATTTGTGATCCTTCTGCCTCAGCCTCTGAAATGCTGGGACTACAGAAAGGTGTTACCATGTTTGGCTCAAAATTCAAAAAATATATTTTGTGTGTTACACAATATTATAATATATATTATGTATATATTTATAATTCATATCTTTCAATTTCACAACTCTTTTTAAAATGTCATTACACATTTTGAGAAACATTATCAAATTTTGATAAAGTGTATGAAATCCCTGGCATAGATGCACTGTGAGATTTCAGGTAAACTCAATTCCTTAGTGCCCTGATTTACCTTTAAATATTTTCTCATTGGGGATACTTATTGACAACCATGGGTCCCAGCCATTCCTGCATGCAGAATGCCAGCAATACCTTAAATCCATACCAAAGTCTATTGCATACATATGTTCCCAGGTGGGTTTCTTTCTGCAGGATTCCAGATGCTACCAGACACAAAGGGAATGATAACAAAAGAGAAACCCAAGTGGGGAAAGCTTCCTTGAACAATTACAGTAAAACTACTATTGTGCAAATTTTATAAAAACATATGAGTATCTGAGCACCTTACTGGAAAACCTCACTGCAGTTAGAATAGGTCCTCGGAGTCTAGGGGCTCTGAAGCTTAAGAGTCATTTGTCATGGGACCGTATTCACCTCTGGTCATACTACAGAGGAGGAGGCAAAGGAAAACAGCAAAAGCAACCCTCCTTTGAGGAGCTGTTTACCCACCCTTGGTATTACTTTCTATATGTCTGGCGGAGAAGCTCACGGCCTTGCTCTCAGGTGAACCTAACATTTTTCTGAGTGCTTCTATCTCCTAATGCTATTGCTTAAGCCTAGGTTAAATATCTTGGGGGGCGGGGTGTGCTAGCACAAGCCTTTGATCCCAGCACTTAGGAGGCAGAGGCAAGGTCTCTTGTGAATTTGAAGACAGCCTGATCTACATATTGAGTTCCAGGACACCAAGAACTATGTAATAGAGACACCTGTGTCAAAAATAAATAAGAAATCTTAGCCGGGGAGCAGTAGGGCAGGCCTTTAATCCCAGAACTTGGGAGACCGAGGCAGAGGGATCTCTGTTAGTTAAAGGGTACCCTGGGCTACACAAGATTGAATCTGTCTAAAAGAGAAACAGAGCTCACACAAAGGTGATCCCAGCCCTTGGGATCACCTGTCTAATCCCAGCACTAGAGAGGTGGAGACAGGAGTGATATGGCTGGGTAGAGGGAGGAGTATAGGTAGAAAGGAGACAGGGGCTCAGTGCAGTCCGAGGTTTGGTGGAGACAGTTGCAGGCTGAGGTTTAGTGGAGAGTCTGGAGAAAGCAGTCTGAGGACAGGATTGCCCCTTCCGTCTGAACGCTGGTAAAAGAACACTAGTGGCTGTCCTGTCTATCTTATCTGCAGCCTTAACCCCTACATCTGACTCTGAGTTTTTATTATTAAGACCAACTAGAATTTGGCCGGGTGGTGGTATACACCTGCAATCCCAGCACTCAGGGAGGCAGAGGCAGATGGATCTCTGTGAGTTCGAGGTCAGTCAGTCTACAAGAGCTAGTTCCAAGACAGCTAGGGCTGTTATACAGAGAAATTGTCTCGAAAAACAAAACAAAACAAAAAAGCCCAACTAGAATTCGTTCTACAATTTAATGTGTGTGTCCTGGAGGTTAAAGGACAATTTTGAAGAGTTGGTTCTCTCCTTCCACCATGTGGGTCCCTGGGATCGATTCAGGTTAGGCTTGGGCGGCAAAAACCCTTACCAGCTGGGTTGTTTCACGTATTCCAGGGTTTAATTATTTAAAAAAAAATTTTAGGACATTTCTCGCTGCAGGCAAACCACTTACACCTAAACCTCAGGTCAGGCCCACTACATCTTAACGCCCCTCTAGAAACCGGCAGTCTGCCATCTGTTGTGTGACAATTCTCTTCCGATTCCCCTTCTTTCCTCTTTTTTCCCCTTTAGTTCTTGTTTTGTTTTTTTAGCCTCTTGCTCTATAACCGCACTGTCCTTGAAGTAACTAAACTCGGGTATTCCTCGATCTCGCTGCGAACCTTCTGCCCCCGCCAACTATGAGATCGCAGACGTGAGCCAACAGGTCCTCTAGGCTTCCCCTTTATACAGAACTCCCGCCGCCCCCTATTTCTGCGCTTACACCAGCACTCCAGAAGCACATCCTTTAAAAAGCCTCCATTGGAGGAAGAAGGAACACGGACAGCTTGCGAGCTCGGTCCTTCCAATCAAACGTACACCAGGTCCCCAGCCGGCCCGGAAGGGCTTCCGGTAAGACTTGGGCTGGGCGGGACTTCCTGTCCAGCCAGACAGGCGCAGAGTACTTCTTCCGCTCTCTCCCGCGGGGTTCTGGAGCGCGGTAGCCATGTCTTACCCGGCTGATGACTACGAGTCTGAGGTAATGAGGAGCTGTGCGCGTGGCGGGCTCCGCTTCGGGCACCCGACTCGGTGGGATCTGTCCCCAAGATAAGGCGGCGTCCAGATCGGGCCGGAATATGCCGGCCGCGACCATCCCGGCCCTCCCTGCTCCGGGACTCCTCACCGATCACGCCTCTGCCCGACTCCTCGGCGTTTGTCCCCGCGTGTCGTTGCAGCCCGAGGCAGGCTGATGGGTGTTTGGAGCTGAGCTCTTTGCTCTGACGCGCTCGTACCGTGCTTTCCTTATTCCGCCGTATCCGTGGGTCGTCCTTGCCCCTGCTCTCATTTCTCGCACACTTATGAACCCCTCCGAGGTGGGGACTGCCCTATCTGCGTGGTGACATCAGCCTCCTGCTTGACGTGTACGCCTGAGGACGGGCGTTTTGGAATCCCCACTGGGCGTGCATTCCTGACTTTGTCTTTTTCCTCGCAGGCTGCATATGATCCCTATGCGTACCCGGGCGACTATGATATGCACACAGGTGAGACCTGAATTCGCCCTGCTGGCTCACTGTCTCCAGGGATTGGCACTTTTTTGACTGTCTCAGCTTTGAATCCGACAGGTCCCTGGTAAAAACACCTTGGTGGCCCAGGTCTGGGGTCGGCCATTAGGCCTGAGTGGTAGGTTAGCGCCAAGAGTCCAATAAATCAGGGCTTTTTTGTGCTCTTCCTGCCGGTGTCGGAAGGATAGCTGGCCTGGCTAGGTTTCCCTTCCTTGTGGGTAATGTTATGTGTCATGCTGGAGATGGAGCCCCATGCTTCTAGGCCAGCTCTGAGCCACACCCACAACCTTCCTTGTTTAAACCATCAGGTGAAGGTGGACAACCTTTGTGGGTGTGCTGATTTGGACTGGAGATTGAACTCGGGGTCCGGTGCAGCCCGAGCACACACTACCACTTGACCCCTATTCCAGCCCCGAGGAAGAAAAGCTTGGTGTGAAAAATGTACTTGATTCAAACCAGGTCCATGTAAACTATCCCGGGGAGGCTTTTGAAGTTTACTCAAATGCTGTGGTGACTTTAAGATGAAGGAAGTACCAAGTGGCTTGCACTGCTTAGGGTACGTTACATTAAATGTTTTATTCAGACCCTTAGAGTTGTTTTACAAACTACGTTAATGTCTCTTTAAAGGTGAAAAAACTGAGGAAGGAGACTGAATAGCTTTCAATAAGTTATTTAGTTAGAAAGTGAATTTCCTTTTTTTGTTGTTGTTTTGGTTTGGTTTTCTTTTTTTCTCTTTTTTATTTTCTTTTTATTTTTGAGACAGGGTCTCACTGTAAATATAGCTCTAGCTATCCTGGAACTTACTATGTATACCACGCTGGCATCAGAGACCCACCTGCCTCTGCCCCCCAAGTGCTGGGATTAAAGGTGTATGCAACCATGCCCGGCTAAGAAATAACTTTGGTGGTAATTGTTCTGAAGGATCGAGGGTGACTTGGGGAAAGTTTGTGTCTCTAAATGTTTAAAGGGAAATTATACTGGTTTGTGTGGATCTGAGTTTAGTGTATGGGGTGGGGTGCGTGTTTCTGTGGCTGTGTGTTCCCTCCCCAACCCACCCCAGCTTCTATGATTAAGATTGAACTCTATCCCCAGCCCTGTGATGTGGTCCTGCCCTTCTGGTCCATCATACGTATGAGCTTGCAAGCACTAGAGTTTTTATTGTGTCCGTCCTTTAGGAGACCCGAAGCAGGACCTGGCCTACGAACGGCAGTATGAGCAGCAGACCTACCAGGTGATTCCCGAAGTGATCAAAAACTTCATCCAGTATTTTCACAAGACTGTCTCAGATTTGATTGACCAGAAAGTGTATGAGCTTCAGGCCAGTCGTGTTTCCAGTGATGTCATTGACCAGAAGGTGTATGAGATCCAGGACATTTATGAGAACAGGTATGTGCTGTTTACTGTGTTTCTGTGTGGGACTGGCCTACTGATGAAGTTCCTACAAGATGAGTAATGTGTAATCGTGTGTGTGTTATGGGTTTTGGTTTTTGGGAGATGTTTTCACTGTGTTATGATTCCTTGGGCTCGAGCAGTGATTCTCAACCTTACTCATACTGTGACTCTTTAATATACAACTCATGTTGTGGTGACCCCCAACCATAAGATTATTACCGTTGTCACTTCATAATCTTATTCTGCTACTGAATTGTCATGTAAATATTTTCGGTCATAGAGGTTTGCCAAAAGGGTTGAGACCCACAGGGTGAGAACCACTGGCCTTGTTCATTAACTGGACTTTGTATCCCACAAACAAGAAAGGTTCATATCTAAAATAATGTCACTACTAATAAAGATGGTAGTAGCAATTAGCATATATTCCCAGTGCAGGTTAGCAGAGCTGGAGTATTTTGTGTGGCTTCTACTTTGCCTGTGACAGTAATCCTATGGTTTAAATTCCACAGGTTTCCTCTTTTTACAGTAAAGGAAGCATAGAAGCAACCATAGCTAGCCCCCACCGTGCATATGCTGAGTTCTAAACCTGCACACTCTAACACCACAGCTTAATTTCTGAATTGTACAACCTCCCAATGCATATCAGCACAGACCAAGCTCCAGAGTAGTGGATAATAATGTTTGCTGGATAATAGGCAGATCAGCTAGGGATGAGACGGGAAATATTTTAAGGAAGTTCTGGGAAGATGCGGTATGTGCAAATGACCAGACACCTGTTGGATCAGTGAACAGGATTTGAACTCTGTTCCCACATTGCTAGGGTCCAAAGAGAAGAGCTGGATTGAGAAGAGTCATAGACTTGGAGGGCTCAGGCTTGTTTTTGTGATACCTCCTGTGTTCTGAATTTGCGGGTTGGGTCCTGAGTCTTTCTTGTTTTGGAGTTGTGAATTGTTTTCGCTTGGCTTTCAGCTGGACCAAGCTAACTGAAAGATTCTTCAAGAATACACCATGGCCTGAGGCGGAAGCCATCGCTCCCCAAGTTGGTAACGGTAGGTGGTAGATGTGAACGCTGTGTCTCGTGGGCTGGATAGCAGATATCATGAAAGCAGAAAGGCCAGGGAGCTTGTGTTTCTTTCTTCTTCCTTTTTTGCTTTTACCAGCTAGGATTTCTCTGTGTAGCCCTGGCTGTCTCGAACCTCACTCTGTAGACCAGGCTGGCCTCAAAATCAGAGATCCACCTGCCTCTGCCTCTCAAGTGCTGGAATTAAAGGTGTGCACCACCATGGTTGGCCTGTATGTGTTTCACTTAGCATTTTATTTCCCTGGAGCTTAAGGTGTAGGTTTTTAGTAAAATTACATGGTTAGAGAAAGCTGGATAATTTGAGCTTTTCCAGATATGAACTTTTCTCTTCCATCTTTGGGGTATGTGGTCTTTGAGTTACTTTGGCTTGGGCTAATTATCCCCTCACCTTTCACTTTTCTTTTTCTTTAAGGCCAGTGATAGCATGGTGAGACCCTGCCTCAGAGAGAGAGAGAGAAGGGAGAGATGGCTAGGAGCTCTAAAGCAGCATGGGACATCCTTTTCTCTGGGCACACCTGGCCAGTATACAGTCCTTTGTTGAGAGAGGATCTCATTGTGTGTGGTTCAGGCTTGCCTAGAATTCACTGTGTGGAACAGGCTGACCTCAAACTCACAGAGATCTCCCTGCTGCAGCCTCTCAAGTGCTGGGACTAAAGGCACGCTCCACCACCCTGGCTGGGTGCATAGGTTCTTGGGGCATAAGCTTAAGAGTTTAGAATAGAGGTTCTTTTTTTTTTTTTAATATTTATTTTATTTATTTATTATGTATACAATATTCTGTCTGTGTGTATGCCTGCAGGCCGGAAGAGGGCACCAGACCTCTTTACAGATGGTTGTGAGCCACCATGTGGTTGCCGGGAATTGAACTCAGGACCTTTGGAAGAGCAGGCAATGCTCTTAACCACTGAGCCATCTCTCCAGCCCTAGAATAGAGGTTCTTAATCTGTGGCTAGCGACCCCTTCTGTGGGGTTGAACAACTCTTTCACAGGGTTTGCCTCTAAGACCACCAGGAAACACAGATATTTACGTTATGATTCCTAACAGTAGCAAAATTTATTTATAGAGTAGCAGCAAAATAATCTTATGGTTGGGTTCGGGACACTACAGCATGAGGAACTGTATTAAAGGGTCCCAGCATGAAAAACATTGAGAACCACTGGTTTAGGGCCTAGAGAGATGGCTCAGAGGTTAAAAGCACTGACCGAGACTGAGGTCCTGAATTCAAATCTCAGCAACCGCAAGGTGGCTCAAAACCATCTGTAATGAGATCTGGTGCTCTCATTCTAGTGTACAGACAGAATACTGTATACATAATAAATAGAACCTAAACAAAAAAGAGGTTTACCCTCTAGATCACCCTTGCCCCTCCACTGAAAGGCTGCAGCTGCAGGAACACCAGTTGCTTTGTAGATTAACGAAGTACCCTTTTGCTATGTCTTTTAGATGCTGTATTCCTAATTTTGTACAAAGAATTATACTACAGGCATATATATGCCAAAGTCAGCGTGAGTACTTTACATTAATGTTGGTGTTAAAACTTTTGTGAGCTGTCTGTGTCCGTTTCATCTCTAATACACTCCCTAGTTGTATTCTGTGTCTTAAGGTGCTTGGTACCTCTTTGTTGTTGTTTCTTTTTATATATATTTTATGTGTTTGAGTGTTTTGCTTACATGTATGTCTGTGTGCCTGAAGAGGTCAGAAAAGGGCATCAGATCCATTGGACCGGAGTTAACATACAGTTGTGATCCACCATGTGGATGCTAGGAATCTAACCCTGGTCCTCTGCAAGAATTACTCTTAATCACTCTAGTCCCCTACCCTCCATTGGTTGGTTGGTTTCTTTTAACGTTTTGGTTTTTCAAGGCACGGTTTCTCTGGTAGCCCTGGCTGTCCTGGAACTCAGTCTGTAGACAAGAGGGTCTCGAGCTCACAGAGATCCATCTGCCTCTGCCCTCAGAGTGCTGAGCTTAAAAGTGTGCAGCACCACTGCACTTTTTAGAAAAAAAGACAAAAGAATAGTTTGACCCATAAAGTTGGCATCTGTTATAGACACTTGAACACTTGTGCCTGCCTGTCCATCTCCACCATCCCAGTCCTCCTTCTTGGGAACTTACAATAATATATCCCCCCATAGTCCATGTTTAGGAAATCTGAGGTTAGATCCTTGACCCTGCTGAATCTGGCTGACTCACTTGCCAGTTGCCTTCCCTGTGACTGTCTCCACCCTTCCTGATTCCTAGCTATTCTCTGCCCGTCAGAGCACCAGTCACTAGCACACTGAGCTGGGGAACACAGTGAACAATCTAAT